ATGGTAGATTCCTGTTGTGCCCCAGGATGCAGAACAGACGCGGACGACATAGGAATGAGCCATCTACAGGATTCCCCAAGATCCGGAGCGCCGTAAACGTTGGATCATTGTAATAAAACGCGCTAGTGACCGGGCTGAAATGAAACTGTGGGATCCCGAGAGTAAAGGATTTCACTTATGCAGCGACCGCTTCATATCAGGTATTTAAACCAATGTTTCCTCAACTGTGTATGGTATTTGTTTTAAATGCTTTTATTACGATTCTTAGTGGGCTTCCTAAACTTATTTTGGCGTGGCTTTTTCTGTCTTTTTACTCATAGCAACAAGTAAACGTCACATAAGTTGCCTCGTGATTTCTGCATGCTGCCGTTTACGTGTTTTATGATCACAGCAATTAACCGGCTAAGCTGTATTTCATTTTTAAGCAATGGTTGATCAATTGTCAGATCACACATAAAAAGCACTTTGGATTGCTATCATCTGTCTCACCGAGACAGATCTCAGACAGATCCTGAGATGCTCCTGCCTGACATATTTATTTTATTCACGGGAAAAAAATCAAACTAGTGATTTCTCTTGGCGTTCAGTTTATACGTTCAAACAGCACAGTACTCTATTTAAACTACTTACATGTAAATCTGTTATTTGTCCATCCATCCATCCATTTTCATCCGCTTATCCGGAGTCGGGTTATGGGGGCAGTAGCGTCGAGAGGCCCAGACTTGCCTCTCCCCAGCCACTTGGGCCAGCTCCTCCGGGAAAATCCCAAGGGGTTCCCCGGCCAGGTCCGGTAAGAAGTCCGCTCCGACAGCTTCTGGCGTTTTTAAAAAGTATCCCAGGGGCACGGTTAGGGTCGGAGATGTTTAGTCTATTTAATTTGTGACTATATAAAACGATTTCTTCGGTTTAAAAGTGTGAAGTAAACTCCGACTAAGTAAAATCCAAGCCAGTCCCGTTCATGGTCATGTTTAAGATCTGAGTTTGTTTACCTTTTTTGCCTGCCAATATGGCGTCTACTAACTGAGAGTCACGTGGGGTCCGGAGCTCTATGCTAATGTGAGCACTCTCTATGCTATCCAGATCATGCGGAGCCGATGCTAGTGTGAAAGGAGCTTTAGGAAAGATGTGATGTCAGAAGATTTTGATAACGCCTCCTACATTTTTCCTGGTCTCTGATTGGTCAAACTGAGACCTTAAACGATAGACACACCCTCTATTCTTGAGTTCCAGCCAAAAATGCTAACTGAACATCTTTTGTTAGATCAAGCCAGATCTTACAATAGAACACTTTTTGGTGGCATAGAACCGCCCTTTTCCAGAACCAAACCATTGCTTGTTTTAACCTGCAACAACTTCATCAGACGCTCACCAACCCGTCAGCCTCCAGCAGAGGTGAACATCTATACTAGCGGGTATCCTCAGACCAGCGAAGCGGGATTCAAGGGGCCTAAGAATACCCCAGAAGTCCAACCACTTGTCAGTCTTACATGGACCAACTTGGCTTTGCCAGCTGGATCTCCCAGGAACTCTCACCACTGGTACCGTAGACCAGGGGTGTCAAACATGTGGCCCGCGGGCCGGTTCCGGCCCGCAAGCGGGTTAAATCCGGCCCGCGAGATGGTTGTGTAAACTTTATTTTCATACTTCACAATGTAGAGTGAAAATAAACTTATCTTTGTGAGGAAGTTTTCTCTGTAATGAGTATAAATAAAACAAAGCTGCGCTCAAGGCTCACACAAGAACTTGAATCACATCCTGAAGTTGGCCACCACTCAGGATGTGACTTCTGATATTGATGTGCTGGTGAAAGCTAAAAGATGTAAAGTAAAGTGAGTCAAATATACTTTAAGTGCTGCATGAAACTGATCTAGCCATGTGATCTGTAAGCTCTTTGAATCACTAAGGAATGTTTTATTTATTTATTGAATTTTTATTTTTTTCAAATTTTCAAGTACACTTCAGGTGTTGTACTTGTACTACACTGTCCTCAGGCTCCAGCCTTGTTTTATATTGATTGTATTAAAACAAAGAAAACAATCTGAAGTTGTTTTTAATTTACCGGTCCGGCCCACTTGACACTAGATTTCCCTCAATGTGGCCCCTGAGCTAAAATGAGTTTGACACCCCTGCCGTAGACTCTGCACACTGGCATTGGATGGTTGTTGTTGTCGTCGTCTTCCTCCGCTTATCCGGGTCCGGGTCGCGGGGGCAGCATCCCAACTAGGGAGCTCCAGACCGTCCTCTCCCCGGCCACCTCCACTAGCTCCCCCGGCAGGACCCCAAGGCGTTCCCGAACCAGATTGGAGATGTAACCTCTCCAACGTGTCCTGGGTCGACCCGGGGGCCTCCTGCCGGCAGGACATGCCCGAAACACCTCCCTAGGGAGGCGTCCAGGAGGCATCCTGACCAGATGCCCAAACCACCTCAACTGACTTCTTTCGATCCGGAGGAGCAGCTGTTCTACTCCGAGTCCCTCCCGAATGTCCGAGCTCCTCACCCTATCTCTAAGGCTGAGCCCGGCCACCCTACGGAGGAAACTCATTTCGGCCGCTTGTACCTGCAATCTCGTTCTTTCCCAAAGCTCATGACCATAGGTGAGGATTGGGACGTAGATCGACCGGTAAATTGAGAGCCTGGCTTTCTGGCTCAGCTCCCTCTTCACGACAGATCAGCTCAGCATCCGCATCACTGCAGACGCTGAATCAATCCGCCTGTCGATCTCCCGATCCCTCCTACCCTCACTCGTAAACAAGACCCTGAGATACTTAAACTCCTCCACTTGAGGTAGGACCTCTCTCCCGACCCGGAGTTGGCAAGCCACCCTGGTTGAGAACCATGGTCTCAGATTTGGAGGTGCTGATCCTTATCCCAGCCGCTTCACATTCGGCCGCAAACCTACCCAGCAAGAGCTGAAGATCAGAGCTGGATGAAGCTAGGAGGACCACATCATCCGCAAAAAGCAGAGACGAGATTCTCCTGCCACCAAACTCGACACTCCACACCACGGCTGCGCCTAGAAATTCTGTCCATAAAGGTAATGAACAGAACCGGTGACAAAGGGCAGCCCTGGTGGAGTCCAACCCTCATCGAGAACAGGTCCGACTTACTTTACCATTGGATGTGTTATGACTAATTTGATAACAAATCAAACATCACTAAACAGCCAGATTATGCTTGTAATCCCAGACTTCACATCTTTCCTAAGACACTTAGACATCCACGATCATGTTTCATGTGAGTTTTAGTTTCAGTTGATATAATCTTGAATAATCATTTACCTTGTATAATCATTAGTCGTAGAAATATAGTAATAAATATTTTTATAAACTATATTTTGCTTCTGTGTTAAATTATTGATTAGCGTTGGTTCCCTGGCATACCCAAAGTACCTATTTACAGAGCCAATCGGATATTAAAGGTTCAACAATATTAATAATCCATAGTTTTATGGAACATTAGATTTTGCTGGATACCTTTCATATTTTATTGAAAATGTATTAATTGTGACCACTTACGAAACGTTACAGCGGAATCTACGAATGTCTTTCAAACTGTCTCCACTCAAGTGGACCGCGCTCGGATCAATCAGAGCAATGAGATGCATTCATCACTACAGAAATGAGTCAATGCTGTACATATACCAAAGAAGCAAATACATTTTTTCATAATATATTACTCTGCTCAAGTCTCGAAGAAAGGCTCAGGTCTACATCATTTAAATTTGATGGCAAAGTCGTTTGAACAGAGTGCCGTTTCTGAACCGCTGCCATCTTTGAGGTTTTTCTCTAGTCCTGGTCTGGTGCTACGCCCGCCAACTGTCTCTTTGATTGGCTAAAAACAAAACAGTTTGTTACAATCATAAACCTGCTGACACTACGATGGAGTTTGACTAGACAGACCGGCAGAACAAAATCTCTAAGAGTTCCAGGCTAGGTAACCCCTTTAAATGTGGCTGAAATAGAACAATTTGGTAAAGAAGAGTGGGACAGTGTTCCTCCACAGTGACAAGATGTGTTACAGCTATGCAGCTGTGGTCTAGTCGTGTTTCTCTGGGATTTAGCATCTTTTCTAGGTTTAATTTAGGCTATATTCTCCTTCATTTCCACCTTATTGGCTCACTTCCTTAGAGGAAATGGCAACGCTAACAACAAACAGTGGTACAGGCCCAGGGGTGTGAGGGTTCAGTGATTCATCCATGGTCCAATTACAGGTTTGATCCCCAGTGGACCTTCTCCCTGATGAAAGCATCCTTGAGAAAGACACTTGTGCTTCTTTTCTTGGCCCGATGCAGTTTTTGACCTCTGCGGTGAAAGTCGTGCATGATGAATATATTCTGGAATGCTGTGAGCTAATTATACTTTATGTATAATGAGTGGATTGGATACAGAGGAAAGTTAGTGTCAGGGCACCTTTCTGCTTGTTGACCCAACCACCACAGCTCCCTCCCTGTTCATGGGTAATGGTTCAAGATGCCCCATTACAGTGTTGATGTGATGAAGGGCTCTTGTGTAGGAATGGCAATTCCACCCTCCTCATGGGTGTTTTGATTGTGTTCAAGGGCTTCCCTTAACGACGCTGCAGCTCTGCGATGTTCCTATGGTAACCAGTCAGATCAAACGTGTCGGCGAGACTTTGTGTGTGTTCGTTATAGCAGCATGGCTTATTTTTTAACTTAATGGATCAATTATCGCAGCTCTTCTCTGTAATTGCATCCTAAATAACAAAGCCGCCCTCAACATGACTTTCCCGAACATCATCACGCGCACGGACGGGATGTGTGTGTGCATGTGTGAAGTAGGGAGGGTGTGTAACAGGACATCCATCTGACATCATTTGTCTTCTAATCTGCACCCCGCCTGCCAAAGCCACTGCTTCACAGGCCCGGTCACCATGTTGGGGAAGGCGCTACACTGCCCCCTGCTGTCTAGTCATGGTTTAACATGGGTGGGAACCACTATTTGTATTCTAAACGTTTATATTCTTGACTCTTATATTCCTTAAGACTTAATTCAAAATAAATGCTGCAGCCAAAATATGTGACATAATTACATGAAATAATTTCTGTCACACTTGTTTTTTTTTATTAACTAGGAACTCATCTCTTGTTGTGATGGGTGTTAAATGAGATTAACTCTAATGCAAACACAAAAGCTTCCCAACATAAATAATACAGATTTGATGCAATGAAAGCTCTTAACATCTAAGTATTTTTGTTCTTCTGGCCATCAGCAATAGAAAGTAAATAAAAACCAGTTTCTCTAACATAAACGGTACAAATGTTTTATACGGTACAACAGCTCCACCTTGTGGTCATACATGAAACAGCAAACCTTTTTACCTCTGGCTCATGGTTGCTTTGGGATCAACATGTTGGCCTTTGACTTTAGACATCTCCATCTCCACTAACCTACAGAACATGTGACTAGATGCTGGTGGACCCACGACCTTGATACAAGAGTCCTCTAACAGGTAAAGAACATCACTGTAAAGGGAGTTCCCTTTATCACAGATAGAAACCAGTTTCTCTTTATTAAGCAGCACCGACTTATCATAAATGATTGTCTGAACTCTGAGAATCATCCCCAAAAAGTCCATCAAGTCCTTAAAGTCTTCCAAGGTCACCTTGAAGTAGCTTGAGCCCAACTCAGAGGGTTTTTTGTCAGTCAGCGATAGCCGCATGAGGTCAGCTCCCTCATGTTTGATGACCACGTTGACACCCTTCAAGCATCTGTCAAAGTCATTCTTGTGAAATTTTTCCGCATATTTGAATATATACAAGTCAACCCAAATATCCTCAGAGTCCTCTGTACACAGGTGTTTGCCACCATCGTGTGTGCTTGTGGACAAGGTCGAAACCTCCCTACGGTTGGTGGTTGAGCTGCGATGGACCGTCGGATTCTCTCCTCCCGTTTTGGCGGCTGAAATCCATTCCGATCTGTCGTAGCCTTGCTGCTTTGCTGGTTTTGCCTTTACGGAGTTCCAATCTGAGAAGTTCCCAGTCGCTTCACTGGACTCTCCTCCGATCACGTGTCTGAAACTTCCTGGTGCCAAACTCTGACTGAGACCTTGTTGACTTTCTGGTTTTGAGGCGATGCTTCTGACTTCTCCTGCTTCACTTGAACTCTGAAGTAACTCGGATTTAATGCTTGAGCCTCCTGGTTTCCGCTTGGCTTTAGTACCAGAGAACCCAACATAGCCAACAGGTTCGTCATGAGATGGTACCACTGGGTTAGAACTGGTGTCTTTTGGTTTGACAGTTTGGGTTGAGGGTTTAAGAAGTTTGGCCCTGCAGTAGAGGTCCTCCCTCAGAGCTTTGATGGCTGACAGAGGACCCTCTACATAAGCTTTCCCCTGCTCAGGCGAAGATCTGAACCGTATTGATCTGTGAGTTGACTGCAGGAGCTCAATCAAGGATGCTTGATCGCTTCTGAAAACAGAGAGATCTACGGTAGCCTTGGAGACGTATAAAAACACCTACAAACCAAGAACAAATGTCAGAATTAATTTAATGATGAACCTTGACAAGAAATGTAAAATTCCTGCAGTTGATGTGCTTTAGAACCAAACCATACTCACATCTGTGCTGAAGGGAAACACAGTCAGGGTGTAGTCTTCAGAAAACTCTCCATCCTTCAGGACGTGTTTTTTCTTTCTCACCACCTTTTCTGCGTCTGCCGAGAGGTCACATCGTTCTACTCTAATCTCCACCCGCAGAATAACCAAGGAACCCAGCGTGTGATAAAGCCTGACCTCACCCATTGTCACCTTTCTACTTTCACATGATGGATGACACATTAAATCAAATCATTCATCAGCTCGGCAGCACTTCATGTAATAAATGCCTCATTTATTCAGTCCCCTCCACACACAGCATGATGTATAAGTGGTTCCCATGGGAATCAATTACAGCATGAAATAGGAAATTGGTCTGACAATGATAGATGTGGCATGAGGCGTTTAAAGCTTTTCAGTCTCATTCAGCAGCCTCACGTTGGACCAAAAAAAAAAAAGCATTTTAATATGAACTCAGGCAAATTTCTGGTGTCGGTGAGTTGTTTTTTCTTTTAAACAACAACGTTTAAGACCATTATGTAATTCTACTAACATATTTTCTTTGTTAATTTAGCTTTACTTTGCAAAAGGATGAAAGTTTTCTGCATCTCCACTAAATTTCTGCTACAACCCTGGGGAAATGCTGGATGCCACTGAAGGTTTTTGGAAGAAATGGGCTCTGGATGAAGAATATTTGCATATTTTTTTAATTCACATTTTGTAAAAATGTGGATGCATTCATGAAATTGAGAACTGAAACAATTTAAAGCACTTTAGACCTTCCTGATAGATGCCAATAAAAAATGGCAGTATATCTTAGATTTAATCAAAAACAAACAAAAATATATAATGCATGAATATCTAATATAATTATTTTTTTAACATTTAAATAGAAACATTTTGCAAACTTGGTCATATTAATTTGTGTTGTAATACTTTACTAACTTATTACGAAAATGTAATATTACTTTTTCTTAGTAATGAATCAATAAAATTGGAATCATTGAATCAAAATTTCGTGTGTTGATTTGTTGACAAATGACGTAATTTCCTGTAGCCATCTTTTTTTTGTTTAAATGACTTTTTTTTTAAATACTAAATTTTATTAAGGCCTTAAATTGTACCTAAGCAGAAACTGTCGCCATAAATCACGTTTAAGGGACTTAATTAGAAAACAGTGACAGGTTCTGAGTAGTTAATGAAAAATAAAGTTTCAGAACTATGTTCAAACTCAGCAGCTACTAGCCAAATAAACGAAGCTAATTTTTTTTTTTTTTTTTACCTTCAGCTTTGTCAAAAGTGACGAAGGCGACTCCGTCCATGTTGGTGGGGAAGGTCACCTCCTCCACGTCTCCTCCGCCGCTCCTCCTGCCGCTCTGGAAGTGAATAGTCAGCTTGTCGACCATCCTGCTGTCCGACAGCACGGTGGGCACACCGGACACCACCACCGTCCTGCTGCTCTCCATCCTCGCTGCGGACACGGAGACCGGAAGTCGTCGCGGCTAACGGTTACCGCGCGTTTTTCCAGCCGTGCTGCCCACGCCCGTCCGTTGCTATAAACCCAGCATCTCTCCAAGCAGCTTTTTACAACTGTTTATAGTTTCACTTTCACTGCTAGGTGAGGGCTGCAGTAGCGACACGTGTCCTCTAGGTGTCTCTGTTTGACCGCCACCGAGCAGGGGCTCAAACCAGTGATGGGGAGCCAAATGGCCCAGTTTACCAGTTAGGCTCCCCTGTCTTATGGATATTGAGTTTAGAAAGACAGAAGATGAAGTATTAATTCAAGCTTGAATAAAAGTAATAAACCACTGGTTTCAGAACTACTAAAGACATGGTACTTAAGTATTTGTAAGTTAAAGTAAAATGTCATTTAGGACTAAACTTAAGCTTTACCACACCTCCCTAAAAACATAAAGGCCAAATTTGTTTATAAAAATGTTTTGCTGATAAATTTGGGATGCCCAATGGACATGAATGCATTTCAGTGCAAAGCGGATACATAAAAGAACCACATGGTGCAAACAGTTGAGGTGGTAAACGTTTCCAATCGCAGTCGAGTTAGCGCCAACGTGAGTAGAACCGTATACATATGTCGATGAGTAGAACACACAGATAATTGTGTGAAAATATAAAGAGTAGAATTATTAGAAAATTACTCCAGTATAGACACCAAGATTTCTACTTAAGGTAAGTTTTTGTACTTCTTTGACACGTTTGATCTTGCAAACGTAGCTCTATTGTTACAAGTGGAGCATAAAACGTAGAACTTCATGAGACAGAATTACTGTTGGCATCACTGGAACTCCTGCTTTTATATTTCTAACTGGCTGCATTATAATTAGTGAGAACCTGCAGCAGTTGCTAAGCAACACAGCTGATCTCAAGACTTAGATATACACAAATACATCCATACCCATATGGTACTCGAGTACCATCAAATACTCCAAGCTGCCGGTGTCCAGACCTTAGGCGGGTCATGAACAGTCGTCATAATTACGAAGGTTCACTATTGAGGATTTAAAAATGTCACCATCACTTTTGCGCTGACGTGGCGTCCCGACATTTCCCATAACTGTCTGGTATGGCCCATTTAAACCCTCAGGTAACAGCTGGACTTGGGGGCCAAGCAACAACATTTGTTCTAAAGGGTTAAAACTTATTTTTAAAAGTTTTCATTCATTCATTTCAAGTGTTTTAATGCTTATTAATGACTTACTCGTTTACTTGGGCGTGTCAGATTTCATTCTCGTGTCTTTAGGTTGTGGTTAAATACCAATAAATGAATCCGACCACGTGAGGAAAACGTTCTTCGATCCGAGGTGGCGCATTAAACCAGCCCATTCACTGCGGCCTCGTTTCTCAGCTGGATATAAAACAGAGCCGTAACCAGGACTTTTAAAATGGGGTGGCCCATGTGGGGCACTTGTTTATTCATGGGTGGCACCAATGGTTATGCCTATTTATTTACACAAATCGTTTATTTACTTTCTAGTGAATTTTTGAGTTTCACATTGCACAATCACCATTTTTTTCCCTCTTCATCTTCTAGTTTTGTGGTGGTTAGCAAGTCACTTCTTGTTGCATTACTGCCACCAACTGGAGTTGCGTGGAACTCTAAATACTATGTATGTGAATATGAAAAAATATTAAATATTAATACTACATGCCTGGGCTAGAAAACAAGGTGAAAGGTGCATGCAACCACACACTATTTTGGAGTTTACAACCCAAGCCTTTTGTCGACAATGTAGTCATTTTAAACTGGAACTTAGTGGGGTGGCACCTGGGGTGGCCAATCAGATTCTAAGGGTGGCATGTGCTACCCCAGGCCACTCCCTGGACACGCCCCTGATATAAAACCTGGCTGCAGACTAAACTCCGGGCCAACTTCCCAACCAACACGTCTCAAAAACGCTCCGGCTGCACCTCGCCGCTGCTAGCCTGGAAGCTAGGGATGAAGCTGCCAACACGTGTGGTGCAAACATTTATTAAAGTAAAAAAAAAAAAAAAAAAAAAAAAAAAAAAAAAAAAAAAGATGAAAATCCACACCATACACAGAACCTCTATCCCGATTCACACAAGTCCAAAAAAACGACGCCGAGAGTGACGGACTGGATTGCATTTTTCTTGTGCATACAAACATTTTTAATTTATTATATAAAACAAAGAGGCCTGGCCGAGTGCAACAAACAGGTATGACGGCTTCATAAAAAGAAAATCCAGGCCCTGAATGACAACCAAACCTCTCATCTGGATCAACGTTTCAGTGCAAATGGAACATTCAATGTGTTTAACTTTAAATAATGAAGGTAGTAAATCCGGTCCTCAGTGTTCTGTGCGGTGCAGGCGTGTGTGCGCCCGGCGGGACCGCGGCGAGGCGTCGCTGGGGGCAGAGCGGAGATAAACGTCGCCCACTGGTGTTGATGGGAACGCTCGTATGAAAGGTGGGTGAAAACCTCGTAGAACCAGCTGGCGGATAAAACCCAAAGCTTTCAGAGACGTTTAGAACAGATCTGAGTTCAGCACAAACCAGAGAAACTAAAGATAAAAATGAACTAAAACAAAATGAAAGTCAACGTTCGCTTTCCAAACTTCTGGTGTGTTTTTGTTCGTTTTGGACAGAATCTGGGAGGCGGTCCAGATGGAGGCAGCTTCCTCTTTGTCTCCGGCGCTAGCTCAGAGCTTAGCGTTGGCCGAGGTCCCCGCTGCCAGTGGGGGTGAAAAACGATGAGCTGTGGTGAAGTTCCCTGGGAGCGTCTCTGGTCGTGCTGCGGATGGCTGCCTGTACCGAACTCAGCCGGGGGACTGCTGGGAGTCTGAGCAGCTGATCCCCTCTGGAGCGCCCCTCACTTCCAGGACCGGACTTCTCACTGCGGGGAAACACAGACACGTCTAAGCAGCAGCCAGGGGACCAACCCAGACCGAGGTAAACGAGCCCCAAACGATCCAAACAAACCCGACGGCTGAATAATAAAGAAATCTGCACGCTTCCTGCCAGGCCAGGTGGGATTTCTGCCTGCTCTGTAACTTTTTCTGCTTGCATTCACAGAGTCAGACCACAGGAGGACGCCGCTGCTCTACGGCTCCAGAGCAGAAGGATCTACGGTGGGATCAGCGCGTTTCATGTTTGCAGCACATTTCCACTGGACGACATCCAGACCATCACCACTTAACGTCACTCCAGTTCTGGAGTTCACGTCAAATGAGGCTGCTGTTACCAGTTACATCAGAGTTGTGCTGTTTGGTGGCGATTAAACCAGAACCAGAAGTTCACCAGCCAGTTCACTGTTCTCACCCCGTCATCACAATACAGGTTAAGCGTTTATGGTGAGTTTTAAAGACTCCCCTGCAGCTTTTACCGGTTTTAATTTACAAAACATCACATGTACCGACTTATCCAACACTGATTTACGAAAAAAAAAAAAAACTTTAAAAGATTATGAACCTAGACAGGGTATCTGCAGGTTTAAGGGAGCCAAATTTAAGACTTTTTAAGGCCACGTTGACCAAAATTCAGCTGTTTTTAAAAAAATTAAATTTAAGCTATGATTTCCAGCTATTGTCTGGAACATCGCAAACGTGGGATTAGCCATCCAGTTACCATTAAACTTGCACTTCCCCATGGCGCACGCTCCCACTAGCTTAACCAGCTAATGTGCTCATCTAAAAATAGCCCCCTTTCACTGAATGTCACTTACGACAATTTCATACACAAAAAATGCTGAAGACTAACTAAAAATTCACAAAAATTCTATAGAAATAGAAGAATCTTGTTTATTGGGTCTTTGGTAATTTAAGACCTTTGGAAACTGTATTTAAGGATAATTTGTCATTTTGAAGGATTTTTAAGGCCTTAAATTTGGAAAAGCAAATTTAAGCCTTTTTAAGACTTTTTAAGGACCCGCGGATACCCTGCTAGAACAAATTGAGTCTTAAAGTACAAATGTGTTTGGGTGATGCTACATCTGACTAAATAAACTTGATATTTGATTTTCAGATCAGCCCCATCGTCTGATTTCAATTAACCTTTAATAAAATATGTGAAAAACTTTTTTAAACCTCAAAAATTCAATGTTTAAATACCAAAAATGTTGATGCTGCTATAAAAGCAGAGAAAAGCTGCTACTGCAAAATGGAGTTTTGATGCACGGAAAGACAAAAAAGTATAAAAGTATATAAAAAAAAACCCACATCGCTGGACGTCTTTGGAGGTCACATTTTAAAAGCAACGCTAGTTCTATACTGTGTGTTTTGCCCTCATTCTGCCATAGCATCGAATTTATTATTTTTTTCCACAAAAAATATTTTTAGGGATCATATTTTAAGGGATAATTGTTAGGAGTGTAAAAGTCCCACCTACACTGAGATCTGAAGACAAAGGTTTCCTGTTGGTCTTCCTGCCATGACCGCTACGCCAAACTCCCAGAGGACCCTGAGGAGGAAGGAGACGCACACAGGTGATGAGGTAAGGACACACGATGACGAGGAGCTGCTGAGTGTGTGTGAGTGTGTGGGGTACCTGATGTTTGGTGACCATGTGAGCAGCGTGGATCAGAGGAGGTCTGATGGAGGGTTTGTACTGCAGCGGCTGGCCCAGTAGAGAGTAGTGCGCTTCACCTGGAAACCACAAGCCCAACATTTAACCTGCTGTCTTTTCTGACGTGGTGCGTCTGAAATGATCCGGTCCCACCTTGTCCACTGTGGCAGAAGGCGGCGGGGAGTTGGTGGGACAGGACGGGGAAGGGCGGGACGCCTGTCGGGAGGCCCTTGATGCTGGAGGGTGGGCACAGCGAGGGGGTGAGCGCCGGCGACGAGCGTAGGCTGCTCTACACACAACACACCGATGGTGGCAGCAAACGGAGAGGAACACAAACACTTTCATTCAAACAAACTACTTCAACAAAGTCACTGAGCTGTTCAAGTCATTGCTTTAATGTACCATTCCCTCCACATTAGTCCCACTAATGTACCGTTACACCCCCACGCTAAGGACTATTTTCTTCTCATTTTCGGGCTTCGGCTGCTTCATTTGCGGCGCCTATTTACGGCGACATTTAACCTGCCAGGAACGGTGGGAAAATGCGGAGTCTGGCTCAAGGCGACAATTCTCAAATCGCTGTCAGACTCAGGCAAGCAAACTAAATTAGCTTTTAAATTGCTTTCTTTGTGACCGTCTTAACTCGCAGCAGATTGTCCTCAAGAGGAACACATTTTAGATTCTTTGGAGTCGAGTTAAAACATCATGGCCGCCCAGCTAATTAGATGTTGTCAAAATGGCGCCAAGAGTGACAGGTCCGAGGCTTTGTGATGGACGGGTGTGGCTGAAGGGGGGGTTGTACCTGGATGTTGTCCGGAGTCGGAGGGAGTTCAGCGGGCCGCCGGCTCCGCTCAGAGTGTTTGTGTCCAGGCTGCTTCCTCTGGCAGGGGGAGGGGGCTCGAGGCTGCTGGCAGGAGGGCACCGACATCTGCAGCATCACCACGCCGCTGCCGGGCGCCGGCGGCAACAAGCCTGCAGAAATAACAAAGAACCAATCAACTACTTACACAGAAAAGATGCTCAACACACATCCTGACTTGATGAATCCCTGTTTACTTTCAGCTCACACTCTGGGAGGCTCGACCGTGTTGGTTCACGGAACCGTTCCCTCCTACAGGCACAAGGACGACAGATATTTGGATTTAATTCTGCAGATTATTTCCCGCCTCGGCCAATTAAAAGTGTTTACTGGTCAGCGCTGCAGGTGAGGATACTTCAGGACCTTCATCTGACCTCATTACCGACAGGATGGGAAACGATGGCTCCTTCCACTGCGGCCCCATAATAACCAGACATGAATAATAAAGGTCATTAGTGAGGAGACGGCCCCACCTGGAGTTCCAGGCAGGAAATCTGAGAAGATCGTCAGAAAAAGACGTAAAAATATAACCCAAAACTAGGGATGAGCTGAATACTCGTTTCAGACGAGTATCGGGTACGGATAAAGCATTTTTGACGAGTACGGGCATGAAACGAGTAAAACTCGTAAATATCTGTAATCGTGCTGAAGGAAAATCCTCATTGGGTAACTGATCGTCTTCACGCTTTGTGATTGGCCGGTCAAAAGGAGCGCCCGCCCCTCCCTACACACAAAACCGCAGCGGGAGCCCTCAGCTCAGTCCGCATCCAGTCCATCCACAACACACACACACACACACACACACACACACACACACACACACACACACACACACACACACACACACACACACACACAGTAACGGATCTCTCTGCTTGCTTCACTGTTCACGTTTCTTCAGTACTCCCTATGTTTTCTTCAGTTTGCTTCTTTTTAAAGTTACTTTAAAGTTATTTAAGGTTACTTTTGTCGTAACGTACGTGGTGCATTTGACAAGACAGAGCTGAAAACGACTCGTGCTGCGTCAGTCACTGCCTCCGCTCAGGTTTTTTTTTCCTCTCTTTCTCTCCTCTTCCTCAGGATCCACTCCCTCTTTCCTATTCACTCCCTCTCTTTCTTTACATTTTTAATCACAATTGTCTAATTTTTGCTAATTTTAAATATATTTTAATTATTTTCTAAACTCTTTTTTCTAGTTTACATGTTTTGTTTTGTGAAGCGCCCTGTGGTTTTTATCTTGAGAAGCGCTATAGAAACGATCTCTCTCTCTCTCTCTCTCTCTCTCTCTCTCTCTCTCTCTCTCTCTCTCTCTCTCTCTCTCTCTCTCTCTCTCTCTCTCTCTCTCTCTCTCTCTCTCTCTCTCTCTCTCTCTCTCTCTCTCTCTCTCTCTCTCTCTCTCTCTCTCTCTCTCTCTCTCTCTCTCTCTCTCTCTCTCTCTCTCTCTCCCCACTTAAATATTAATGTTCTGATTTTATTGAAAAACTTGTTCTGTAATAGTTGCTTTACTATTTTGATCAAAACCACACCCACTTCTGGGTTAGGCCACGCCCACTCCAAGTACAGATACAGATAAATTAGATGATTGAACAGATACAGATAGATAGTGGTGTACTCGCTCATCCCTACCCAAAAAGTTGCTGATCCAAATACGACAACTACTGTACTTTAAATCAGACTAATGTGTTCATAAAACCAGAAAAATCGGGAAATTTTTCTATAAAGTTGTGACACAAAGTGTCCACAAGAGGGCACCGTTATTTTTACTTTATTATTTAAAATGGATACGAATAGGTTACATATTTAGATACAGATGAATAAGAAACCACTTATCACAGGTTATGCCAAAACTTTGGTTTTTCTGATTTTTCAAAACAAAATTGTAAGAATATGAGCAACAATTTAGCTCGGTTTTATTGATTAACTAATAATGTCTAATATTTATTTTGAACTCAAGAACATAAGATCAAAAAAATGTCACTAACAAAAATTTCTTCAACGGGCAGATTCTTGTCATATTCGACACATCAGCTGTTTACAAAGAAAAGAGGCGACTTTTTATTTAAACAAAACTTGACGGTATTTAAAAATTTAAGTCAATATACTAACAAAGTATTTTTTACAGTGTAGATTAGTGAATTAAAAAATTGTGTTGATTGAAGTAATTTCTTATTAAATGTTCACATTCAGTCTTGTTTATATTTTTAATCAGGGTTTTACTCAAAAATCCTAATTTCATTACAACAATAATTAAAAAATTTTCAGGTACGACCTCCAAACCTTTGAAATGCATTAATATTCAACCATACCAGGGTCCGTTTAACAATAAAACAGGAAAGTGAGTTTATTCTGACCCGCAATGTTTTACGGTATAATGTTCCCTCTGCAGGTTTTCGTCTCCTCACATCAATCATCATCCTGTTCAGCTCTGAGGAGCGCTTTCCAGCTGGTCTCTGCTGCAAACTGACCTGAAGTCAGCAGAAGAAACCACCCTCCCTCCCTGAGGCACTACTTCCATTTAAAAAAAACACCAAATCCAATTATGAGCTGATGCACAAACAAAAGGCAAAGTGAAGCTGAGGGTAGATGGTGTTATTATGGGATGCAGAGCTGAGGAATGTTGTTATGGACAGGGATGAGGCGTACCTGTGTAGGGTTGGCCCGGGTGCTGCTGGGGGAGGCAGGGAGACGAGGCCTGAGGAAACTGGAGCGGCTCCATCATTGGGGAGGGCAGGAAACTTACTGTTGAACTGCAAAACAACAGAAAAAAAAAACGTTAATCTGAAACGTAGCTGCAGAGCTTCTGAAAACGAGCGTAATTAATCACAAAAGAAGAAGCTGAAAGCATTAAAATGAGACATGAGGTACTAGTCCAGGAGCCGGGGGCTCGTTGCCGCAGCAGCTAAAGCTAAAAGTCCATCTGGAGACGAGGCGCTCTGCTCTGTAAGCAGCCCGCCTGGAGGGACTTATCTCCAGCTGGTGGAGAAGCAGGCTGCAGGTGGACGCTGGGTCCTCGTGGGACAACACTGCTGCTGCATAAATCATCTCCTCGCTGACTGTCCTACTAAAGCACAGCTGGGATGCAGAGAAGTGGCCTCCTTTTCTTTTGTTCTTTTGCAGGTGATGGCTGGGTTTGCATGTAGCAACGTCCCTGAGGAGCTCCGCTCTGCTTCCTGACTGTGTGTGTGTGTGTGTGTGTGTGTGTGTGTTTGTAAACTAAAAGAATTCATCACCTCGGCCGAAGCTTTGAAGTAATGATGTCATGTTTGGACCCGGAGAGGGAACAAAGATGACCTCAGCACTGAATCACTTTAAGGACTTTATCATCAGACCGGTTAAAGCGATGAAAAAGATCAGAGAAATCATTTTTTAAGCTAACCAGGAGAATTATTTTAACAAAACAACAAAAAATTTAATAAATCAGAGCAGCAAGAAAATCCTAGTTTGTTATGAATACAAACAACTCGAGTTCATTTAGGAAAAAAAAGTTGTAAAAAATAAATACTTCTGGTAAAAAGTGACTTTTAGGTTTTTACGTCTTTTATACAATTTGACCACCAGGGGTCGCAGCGGCGGGAAAAGTTCGGAATTTCAAAGTAAAGAGTGTAAAAAATTTGGTTTTGTTCCAAACACGTAACATAATTTGATAAAAGAATAGATGTTTAAGCGTAAAAGATCCCCAAATTCCCCCAGTGGCAAGTTCCAGTTTTAGATTTTAGTTCCACCCCTTTTAGTTAAAGGGACTTTACGGAGTTTTGTATTTTTATGCTCGCGACTGCCCCCTCAGGCCAAAAGCGTAACGGCAGCTTCAATAGTAGGCTCGTGCACGAGGCGTGCATGCTGTACGTGCACACTCCTTAACGAAAATAATAGCTGAGACAGTCCCGTGTGTGTGTGTGTGTGTGGGTACAGGAGAACACGCAGCTAATTAATTAAATAATTTGGTTCTGTACCTTTCTCTTCAGCACAGCCGACAAAGGTTTATGATGGGTCAGTCCTCCTGCATGCTCAGATCATTCCCTTCCCTTGCTTGAAAAATTGTTCCAAAATGAAAGTTGAACCCACATCTTTTTTATCTGTGAATTCAATGCCGTTCGGCGAGTCTCAAATAAAAATTTCGGCATCTTACTGTAAAAAAATATACCATTAATGTAAAAAAGAAACTCTAAATGAACTATGTTCACATCCAGAATCGAACCCCTTGACTCCTGCACTTGAGTCCGACATCTTACTAGGTGAGCTAAAGTGCCAGTGATGTCCTTTGTATCTAACATTTATATCCTTGATGACAGCTGAAACAACGTTCAAAGAACGGTTCGGAGCGAAAATGGCTATTTTGTTGCTAATTTGCAGGAAATATCTAGAAGAAAGTTCTACAGAAAGTAGCTAAGGGTCCTCAGAAATGTAGCTAGCTTTGTCACTAGGCGTTAGGAACAGCGACAAAGTGGCACTGCCTCTCTCTCTGCTGCTAAAGCTACAGATAGCAAATGCTACGGGCGATGCCTGAGCGTGAACGCGCATGAAGCAGCCTGCTCGACCCGAGCATCTCTCTTTTTCTGTGATTTTACAGAAAAACAGGCAATCACAGTAAAAATGCCAGGGCTCATTCTACAGGACCAGGGCATTGCAGGAGAATGTATGAAGAAGACATTTATTATTTCTATACATGTTTTGACTGTCTTAACTTCCATAATGCCCCTTTAAGTAAGAGGCGAATACAGGTGCTGGCCAGTAAATTAGAATATCATCAAAAGGTTGAAAATATTTCAGTAATTCCATTCAAAACGTGAAACTTGTACATTATATTCATGCAATGCACACAGACCAATGTATTTCCAATGTTTATTACGTTTAATTTTGATATTTATAGGTGACAACCAATGAAAACATCAAATCTGGTATCTCAGAAAATTAGAATATTCTAAAGGCCAATGAAAAAATGTTTGTTTCTCTAATGTTGGCCAACTGAAAAGAATGAACATGAAAAGAATGTGCATGTATAGCACTCAATACTTAGTCGGGGCTCCTTTTGCCTCAATAACTGCAGTAATGCGGCGTGGCATGGACTCGATCAGTCTGTGGCACTGCTCAGGTGTTATGAGAGCCCAGGTTGCTCTGATAGTCGTCTTCAGCTCCTCTGCATTGTTGGGTCTAGCATATTGCATCCTCCGCTTCACAATACCCCATAGATTTTCTATGGGGTTAAGGTCAGGCGAGTTTGCTGGCCAATCAAGGACAGGGATACCATGGTCCTTGAACCAGGTGCTGGTGGTTTTGGCACTGTGTGCAGGTGCCAAGTCCTGTTGAAATGTGAAGTCTGCATCCCCATAAAGTTGGTCAGCAGCAGGAAGCATGAAGTGCTCTAAAACTTCCTGGTAGACGGCTGCATTGACCCTGGACCTCAGGAAACAGAGTGGGCCAACACCGGCAGATGACATGGCACCCCACACCATCACTGACGGTGGAAACTTTACACTGGACCTCATGCAACGTGGATTCTGTGCTTCTCCGCTCTTCCTCCAGACTCTGGGTCCTTGATTTCCAAAGGAAATGCAGAACTTGCTTTCATCAGAAAACATAACTTTGGACCACTCAGCATCAGTCCAGTCCTTTTTGTCCTTGGCCCAGGCGAGACGCTTCTTGCGCTGTTTCTTGTTCAAGAGTGGCTTGACACACGGAATGCGACACCTGAATCCCATGTCTTTCATGAGTCTCCTCGTGGTGGTTCTTGAAGCGCTGACTCCAGCTGCAGTCCACTCTTTGTGGATCTCCCCCACATTTTTGAATGGGTTTGTCGTCACAATTCTCTGCAGGGTGCAGTTATCCCTAGAGCTTGTACACTTTTTTCTACCACATTTTTTCCGTCCCTTCGCCTGTCTGTTAATGTGCTTGGACACAGAGCTCTGCGAACAGCCAGCTTCTTTAGCAATCACCTTTTGTGTCTTGCCCTCCTTGTGCAAGGTGTCAATGATTGTCTTTTGGACAGCTGTTAAGTCAGAAGTCTTCCCCATGATTGTGGTGCCTTCAAAACAAGACTGAGGGACCTTTTAAAGGCCTTTGCAGGTGTTTTGAGTAAATCAGCTGATTAGAGTGGCAGCAGGTGTCTTCTATATTCAGCCTTTTCAGAATATTCTAATTTTTTGAGATACCAAATTTGGAGTTTTCATTAGTTGTCACTTATGAATATCAAATTTAAATGTAATGAACATTGGAAATACATTGGTCTGTGTGCATTGCATGAATATAATGTACAAGTTTCACGTTTTGAATGGAATTACTGAAATATTTTCAACCTTTTGATGATATTCTAATTTACTGGCCAGCACCTGTATTCCTGAAGAAGAAGAAAACATCCATAAATCTGATTTATTTCAGATGGTGACTCTTGCCCGCTCATGTAGGTCCTACCTAGCTGCTGTACATTCAAATGTTTTCTAATATGGTAAGTTATAATTAGATATGTGATGACTGAAAAAATAAATATAATAAAAAATAACACTGTTAATATGTGTGGGGAAGAATGATGGACACTCTAGTTCTGAGGACAAAAATGGGATTTTACGCGTTCCGTCACTTTTTGCTTTCGACTGAAATTCACACAAAAAAATTAACTTTAGAATTTAGTTTCACTTTCAACATGGGCTGTCAATCAACACATTTTTAATCACGATTAATCTCATGAGATTCTTAGTTAACTCGTGATTAATCACAGAAAGATTCGATTGCTCGTCACTGCAGGACCCAGAGAAGTGTATGCGATTTGAATGGCTTCCAATCCCGCATTTACCATTCTTCTTGCTCACAGAGCAGAAATGCCTTCTTCACGTACGAGTTTACAACTTCCTCTCTCGTATCACGACGACGGGTTCAGGGCAAGCGAGCAACTGACTTATAAAAACAATTTTAAAAATGTGTTGATAATCGATATTTTTGTTGACCTTAAAAAATGTGTTAAAGTGATAACGCGTTAACTTTGACAGCCCTACTTTTAACGTTTTCACGCATAAAATACGACATTAGTCAAAATTATTTACAGAAAAATTCTGTTTAAAACAAACTTTTCAAAGAGCTGTCCACTCAGCTTGACGCCACGAGCTGACATTAAAATATGTATTTATCTTACGATTATTATGTAATTTATCTGTAACTAAACATTACCAGTGGGTGGCAGTGTTGAGTCATGTACGGCCATATTTCAGTCATCTGCGTTTGAAACACAAACTGAACATAAAATAACTTTTGGTTCCAACATTTGGACTTTGAGGTAAAGAGCTCATCATAAACCGCCTAGTGGAGGGGTTGGGTACTACGACACATTTTCATGAAAGAAAAAATATTTGTTGAATATAATTAAAACTGTGATCTTTGACTAATTTAAATTAACTAATTTTAAACTCTTTTTTTTGAAGTAGTAACAACCTTTCACGATTAATCCCCCCTTAATAACAATAAGGCTAAATGTGCCACATTAGAGGTTTTACTCATACTTTTTATTCTTTACAGAAACATCTGCACTAGGATAAACAGACTTGTTTATATACTGGATACGTGGTAAACTACGTCACTCGTGGAGCCACACAAATGTTTCTGTCCTAGACATTATTTTAGAAACTGTTTCCAAGCATTTCCAGCACCTGTAAGACCTCGTATCTCTAGGTAACCCATTAGAAGTGAATTCGTTCGACCATTTGAATAAAAATGGAGGCTAATGGGCGAGTATTTCACCAACACCCACGCACGTATAAGAAACCAGCCGTAGTGAGATGACCACAGCTTTAACGGAGGACGAGTGTGTCTGAGTGGTACCTCATGGTGGTGTGCTGGGTGGGGGAGAGCAGGCTGTAGCAGGGCTGCACACCAGAGACAGCCACTGGCCCCTGGCCCGGCTGGCAGGACATGAACACCGGCTGCTGGTATGTCTGCTGCGGAACAGAAACCTGCTACAAGCAAAAACCAAACCCGTTTGTTTACGGCATTCTTCAGATTCACGGAGGATTAAAATCTGATGCTCCCTTTATCAAAGTACCTGATAGGAGGGCATAGGAGGGTACTGGACCATCATGCCTTGCATCTGGCTGGCCATATTGCTTTGCTGGTTTCCAGCGAGAGCGAGGTTGGGTGTTGGCTGGACGCCCACTACGGTCTGGTAGCTGGACGCTGGGTTTGGCATCACGGCTTGGTGCACTGAGAGGGAAAAAACAACATAAAATCATTAGCTGTCACCTTTATTGGTTTGAAATGTAATTTAATACAACACAACAATCATCGCTGAGAACCACAGAAGAAGAAGCTGCCAAGCAGGTTGGAATAAATGAGAAAGTCAATATATTTGATTTCGCCGGCGGTGGCTTGAACCGGCAATCTGAGTCCATCGTCAGCGGGGAATTAAAACGCCTTCAACGCAGATGACTCATTCCAACACTCACTTATTAAAAAGCTACCGGAGCTCAGACAGACGCACAAAAGACAACGCAAAGTCACTAAAATGGTTGTGCCGATTTCTGACTGGAGGGAATGTCAGACGCTTAAATGTCAAGAGGACAAAAAGGGACATTTAAAAAATACTTCTTTTACCGTACACACACAGTCAAAGTAATCCAGGGGACAAAAGGAGAGGACGTCCTTTTGTGACAGTGTCTTTACAGTCCGGCGCTCTGGGAGAAAAGTACAACTAGACAATGAAAGGCTCCACGAGGAACCAGGTCAGCGGGACTATTTTTATCCACCCTCGCCTCCCACCTTCACTCACAAACCAAGCATGAAATGACCAGAATATCAATCGTGTCCTGTAGTCTTCCACTCCAGCGGGCAGCAGGTCTGGACTTCTTCACTGTCTGAGCTTCCCTCAGTGAGCGCGCCTGTCCATCGTCGGACCAGAGGGCATTTGTGTCTGACATCATCAGACACTGTAGATGCTCACCACGGTTATTCTTCAGCGCGTGAATCCAGGTCATAATGACATGGACGTTCGGCAGGTGAGAAGTGAGGGGCTGGAAAAGAGACCGGTTCACTGTGAGATTCATACAGGCCTCTCAGACAGCGTCCCGGCCCCGTGTCCCGCCTCTCAAAGCCTCCTGGTCCCACCTCTCAGAAAGAATCCTGGCCTCCCCTCTCACACAGGGCCCCGGCCTTGCGTCCCGCCTCTCAGTGCCCCAGCTCTAAGAGCATCAAGGCCCCACGTGGAACCTCTCAAAATGCATCTCCGACAGCACATCTCACCTAACAGTCCGCGTCCTGGCCCCGCCTCTCAGACCGCGTCCTGGCCCCGCCTCTCAGGCCGCGTCCTGGCCCCGCCTCTCAGGCCGCGTCCTGGCCCCGCCTCTCAGGCCGCGTCCTGGCCCCGCCTCTCAGGACGCGTCCTGGCCCCGCCTCTCAGACCGCGTTCTGGCCCCGCCTCTCAGACCGCGTCCTGGCCCCGCCTCTCAGACCGCGTCCTGGCCCCGCCTCTCAGACCGCGTCCTGGCCCCGCCTCTCAGGCCGCGTCCAGGCCCCGCCTCTCAGGCCGCGCCCTGGCCCCGCCTCTCACACCGAGCCCTGGCCCCGCCTCTCAGACAGCGTCATGGCCCGACTCTCAGACCGCGTCATGGCCCCGCCTCTCAGACCGCGTCATGGCCCCGCCTCTCAGACCGCGCCTCGGCCCCTCAGTGTCCCAGCTCTCAGCGAGCGTCAAGGGCCCGCCTCTCAGACCGCAACCGGGCCCCGCCTCTCAGACAGCGCCTCGGCCCTACGTCCCGCTAAAGTAAATTGTGCAGGTTTTGAATACTCTGTTTTTTTGAATTAGCCATTAAATTCCTAAATTTCAACAGCTCCGGTATCGGCCTCAGACATGATTATGTCAAGAGCCCCACCCTTTTTATTTAACTTTTTAATTTTGACAATTTAATATTAGAATTAAAATGTTTTAATAATGTAGTAAGTAAGTAAATTTTATTTATGTAGCACTATCACAGACATAGAATCACAAAGTGCTTCACATAGATCAAAACAAAATAAAACAAAGTCATAAAATCATGAATAAATTAACATCATAAAATCAAAATGCTCTCAAAACAGAATCTGATTAACATCAGAAAAAATAAAGTGATAAAACTATAAAATTTCATAAACAGATTAAAGATTAAAAATGTGAGTTAAAAATAAGAAAATATAAGTTTTAGGTCAAAGCAGCATAAAAGGGCCTTTAGCTGTTTTTTAAAAGTGTCCAGACTGTCATCGCTGCGTAAGGACACAGGAAGATCATTCCCGAGTCGAGGTGCAACAGTCTGGAAGGAGCGATCACCTCGACTTTTGTATCTGGTCTTTGGAACTTCTAGAAGGTTCTGGTGTGTGTGGACCTGAGGGCTCGGGTTGGAGCATAAGGCTCAGTAATATAGGGAGTATAATGTAATACATCATAACGTGTGAAATCAGAAATCAGCTGTGTCAATTTCTGATGAATAAAAATCGGCGTTGGTATCGGCCACTAAAAAAACCTGAATTGGTGGACCTCTTATGAAAACGTTCCAGAATCACGTCAAAAACGAATTTAAGAACATCCCATTGAATCTGTACTTGAGGTTGGTGTTACTTTGAGTGAGATGAAGGTCTGCTGTTCTCAGCAGAAGCTTAAACTCGTTAATGACCTTCCTCTCTGCCTCAGAGACGAGCCAAATAAGACAAATATGCTTCTGAAAATGACCACAGCTGAATCCAGAGTGGTGGAGGGGACGCCTGACTGATGCAATTAGGAGTAAACGCTGACGGGATCCTCTGAGGACAGCCGCCACGCCTCTGGAGACTCTCCACCGGTAACTCCTGCATCTTCTTCCACCTCACGGTGAACCCACATCTCCACCTTTACACGGTCACACATCTGTGCGGCTTTAATTAATGCGGAAACGCAAAGGAAACGAGGCCCTGCCGTCACTTTTCATCCTCGCCGTCTCCCTGAGAAATAATTGCTGTTCTTGTGCCTTTGTAGGTCAGCTTCATTTGTCCGCTGCCGACTCCCCGCTTCCCCAGCAGGGAAGCCACATTTGCAGCCTGGAGATGACAGAACAGTGCCGCAGCCACTTACGCAGACATATGTGCAGCGTGTGTGTGTGTGTGTGTGTTGGGACAAGTGGCAGCAGAGTGGAGGTTTGTGAAAGGGAAACAGAAAAACAGGAGCTAACAATCTCAGCTCCTGTGGTGAAAGGAGGAAGAAAAAGAAGAATCTGCTAAAGAAAACAAACGGAAGAGAGGAGCGACGTCTGTCCTTCAGCAGACCCGTTGGACAGCAGGAGCAGCTGAACCAGCCACATCCTGAGCCAAGCTAGCCGTTCTTCCTCTGATCCTTGTGAAGCAGAGGAGCGTCTGACTCATTAAACCTGCTCTGGTTCTCCTCTCCAGACCTGTGGAGCCGACCTGAAGCTTCCTGAGGCCCGTTAGCAGACGGACCTGCTGCTGCTCCATCCAGATGACGTCGCTTTAAGAATAGAAAGACCAGGAGGAGAACGTGAGTCTGTACCTTGTTGCTGGGGCAGGTTTTGGCTCTGAGGGCAGTTGTAGGTCAGTTGGTTGGGGTGGGGTCGGTACTGCTGCTGCTGGTTGGAGCACGGCGGGTGGTGTGCTGAGGAGCAGTAACAGGCGGACATCTGCTGGACACACGTGCAAAGATCAGCTTTGGTCTGGATTGATAAACGGTGAAGTTTCGGACTCGTTACCTGTTGCAGCGGCTGCTGGACGTAGGCGTGCTGCTGGAGCAGCGGAGGTGCAGTTGCAGGAAAAGGGGCGGGGCCAGAGCTGGGGTACAGCGAGTTCTGGCCCGGCGTGGGGATGGGGACGTGCTGACCCTGCAGCACCCCCGGGTGCCCCCCTGATGGCCCTGCTACCATGAACCCCGCCACCTGCTGAGGCGGTGCTCCCTGCAGCATCACGGCGGAGGGGTGGGGGTTGTAGACGGAGGAGTAGTGGCGCCCATCGGGATGCGGAGCCCCGCCCTCCCCTAACGGCTGCTGCGACAGAGTCATGTGACTGAACTGGCTGTTGAGGGCTTCGGGCTGCAGAGACAAAGCGGAGTCAGAGGCGGCGGTCCATCTGGGCTCTGACATGTTTTGAGTCATGGATTATTCAGATCCAACATCTGCTGATCAATTAAATATTAACAGAACTTTCCGTCGGCATAATTAGTCTCAGCGGCTCGTCTTGGACTGAAACCCGGTCAGAAAGCAGGTTAACTGATGCGCGAGTCCTGCTGGATTCACCTTCACACCAAAACCATAAAAAACTTAAGTTTTATTTTCAATTATAGAAATCTTGTTCACTAAATAATCATAATTAGGCTTTGAAGTTTGGGCAGAATATCGCCATCATGACAACGCGTGCAGTATCGATAAAAAAAGAACCTAAAATCACATTTACGGTCCTTGACTCTTAAAGGCACATTAGATAAAAGCCAGGAGGATAAAGTGTTTTTATGGTAGAAAAAAAAAAGAGTAACGATAGATTTACCAAAGCCGATGTTATCGCGATACTCGATAAACATAAAAAAAAACAACCTGAATCTGGTCTAAGACAATGCAGCTTTAATTAAAACTCAACTCTGTACTCATGCAGGATTTACGCCACAAACTTTTGGTTCAACACTTCTGAACGTTTAGGCTAGCTGCAGAGTAATGTTAGCGTTAGCTACAGCACTTTTACGCGGCCCAACACGGATAACGTTGAACGCCGTGCACAGGATTACCCAGGCTACGTCTAAAACACACACACACACACACACAGAGTTAGGTCTCTACTTCATTATGGCTGTTTAAAGTGCCGATAGCTAATATGAAGACTAGCAGTTAGCTTTTTCAGTTTGCTGACAAAGAAAAAACAAACAAAAAACAAACAAAAAAAACAAAAACAAGCACACGAGGAAGAAGCCTTTTCCGTTGGTATCAAGGTGGAGCCTTGAAGTAAATGTAGGAATGTTTTTGGGGGCATTCAAAGAGCTAAAAGCAGAGCGAACATCGGCGTGGCCTACACTAGCTTCACTACAAATCATAAAGGAGACTACAAAATCACAGACTGATGGTGACCTGGCTTTGTTGCTGCTGGACTTGTAAGTAAGATTTCTTTGTCCAACAGTGTGGATCTTTTATTTTGTTGTTTACTTAGTAGCAGTTGTTAGCGTTAGCTCATTATTAGTGCTAGCTACAGTAGGCTGCGATTGGGTCATTTACGACAGTTGTAATTCCACCAGTAGCAAAGAGAAGTGGGGAACTTAATTGTTGCTTTAAGTAAATAAATGATCCATGCTAGCTTTTTACCTGCCAAAGTAACAGCAGCCATGTTATCAGTGACAGCTTCACGTCATGAGTCTTTAGTGATTCTGAAATACCTCTGTGCTAACGTCTGTTTAAAACCAGACGGAGAGTCACAGTTAGCTTCTGGTCCATGAGGATCTGTTGGGTTTAAAGCGACCATCAGTCACCATTTTCACTATTATCACTGCTCTAAGTCACAATCTGCTTGTAAAAACACAACAGACTGCATGCTGGGTGCAGCATGTTTTCATCCTGCAGACTAAAACCAGCAAATTCCTTATAAAACCCCAGTTTTCCCCCCACAGAAACCGGCTTTAAACAGAGCAGAGTAGAAGGAAGAGACGCTGTACCACAGTGTATTGTAGGTGAGGAGGACAGAAGGGCAGGAACTGAGGAGGGTAAGAGACCGCTGGGCTGTGGACAGGCTCAGAGGACAGCTGAAGAGGAGGACAGACTGGCTGAGGAGGAAGAAGAATAGACAGAAGGACAGGATGAGAAACTGGACAGAGGCTGTCCTCTAAGCCCCTCCCATATGTTGTTTTTAGAGTGATGGGAGTGGCTTAAGTGTTTTCAGCTCTCGTTAGAAACAAAGAGTTAGCAAGGAAGGGAAAAGGTGATGAGAGAAAAGGTGGGATTTAAAACGAGCCCGTGAGGGAGTGTTCTGACCTGTGTGTGTAGGTGATTGGTCGGCTGCTGCTGCTGCGGCGCTGCAGGGATCGGCCGCGTTTTCCCCTGCTGCGGGACTCGGCCGGCAGCTGGGCCGACGCTGGTCGGGTTAAAGACAACCGCGCTGCCATCAGGGTGGATGAAAGGCTTACCTGTGGAGGTTAATTCATTATAATTAATAAGCAGAAGTGAACCGCTCCGGTTTTCCTGATCCTCCCACATCCCACCTTCTGGGTGGGATGTGGGAGGATGCGTATTTCCAGATCCCTCCATCTGTTCCCCGCATCCTAATCAGAGCGCTTTAGCTAATATGACAGACAGGCTGGGCGAGGCTCCAGGTCACGCTGGAACTCTGTCCCGCGGTCATGAATTTCAGGTGGATTAAGAGACTGGGATGAATCCGGTTTATTCCTGTGATCCCATAGGGGTTTTTCAGGAGCCTTCAAGCCTCACCCACCTGTGTGTGGATGGACCAGGACGCTGCCAGGTGGAATCCCCGAGGCTTCTAGCGGCAACACGTAGTAGTTGGTGGTGTCGGGAATGGAAGCTGCCGGCTGGGAGGGGACGCTTTTGTCAGAGGGTCCTCTGGCGTTGATGCCGTGGTGAGCTGGAGGGGCGCTGGGGGGGTTGGACCGAGAGGACACCGGAACCGGGAGGGGCAGCTGAGGACGGGACAGGGAGCTGGACGAGGATCCCACGCTGCTGCACGATTCCGATCCTGAGCCGAGACAAAGACACCAACAGAGTGGAACCATGAGGCACCTCGGGAAGTAGAGCTGAGGAGAATAATGAAATAATCGATGCATCGGGACGCGGACATAAACGATTCTGCATCGTAGAAGAGTACGCCATCATCGATTAGAGTGGAATGTAGCTTTGTTTTTTTAACGGCGGCACCAGCGCAGCATCCAAATCTGTCAGAGTGAGCGTCCTCCACATTTACCTCCGCCTTAATGTGGTACTGCAGGGCTGAGCGCTGGAGTTGTCACCTAGAACCGAATCAGCCCGACCGGTTCTGTTGGATTTGGGCCGTGAATTATGTTAACTGCGCGGGTTGTCAAGCGGCGTGCTCCGCTCGCTCAATCAGCGACTGAGAGAGAGAGAGAGACACGGTCTGCTCACACAAGAGAGAGGATCGGAGGATGCTCCTCCAAACCGATGCTCCAAACACGCATTATTATTTTCATAATTTAATTATTATTTCTCCTGGAAGAGCTCAGTCAGACCGAGTGTTGTGATGTAGGGAGATCCGGTCTTGGGGAGGGGGCGGGGTCAGTGACGGCGGCTGCAGCGTGATCGTCTGTCTCTTTTATTTAGGGACACGGAGAAGTTAAAAGGAGAGAGAAACAGAAGTTCTTGTTCCACTTTATTCTTTTGTGTCATGATGATAAACTGATGTTAAATTCAGCTTAAAGAGAAACTGGGAGGAAGCTTTGGTTCATTTTAAGTTACAGGAGGTCTCGTTTCCTATCTGCTCCTCCAGAGACAGCATGGACATGAGGGTCACATGGTGAGGGTCCCACAGGACAGGTTAGTGGAAAGGTTTGTAGTTAGCTGGTTAGTGAAGGAGATCCATCAGCTGGGTAATTTAATCCTAATCCAGCCCACAGGCTTCTGCTGGTGTTATTATCAGGAAGAATAAAACACACATCTTAAATATTATTGGAAGTGTAGAATTTGTTTTATGTTTTATTATTTTCTGCATCAAACAGAACTTGATTCATTCTCCAACATTTCAGAAACGAACCACTGGGTTCAAATAAAATAACAAACTAAGTCAAACATTTCATTTGGTGTTATTTCTGACACCCTCGACTCTAGAGCTGCTCCGAGACATTAAACACTCCTATATGAACACATTATGTATTTTATTATTACATTATGTGTGCTGTAGGTTTTCAGTACCTTTTTAGATTTTGTGAGTTTTTGCATGTTTTCCCCAGCCTGAGGCGTGGTGTTGAACGAGGAAACAGATTGTTTTACTTTGTTAAATCTTCTTAAATGTTTAAAATGTTTTGTCCTAACCTGTTGAGAATGGAGAGCTTTTGAGGGCTGGCAGGTTGTGTCAACTACGTTATTGATTAAAAATAAATAAATTAATTAATAAATAAAAATGCAAAGCAATTATCTGACATCTTCTACTTATCGATGAAAACAAATTAATATGAAATAATCGTGATGCATCGGGATATCGAATCGAATTGAATCGTTGACCCAATAATCGTAATCGAATCGGGAGACGAGTGAAGATTCGCACGTCTATCGGGAAGACTGGTGAGGATTTTACCAAGGCCCTCAGGCCAGCCTGAAAATAACGCTCACCCATCTGGTTTCTCTGGGACCAATTCAGACGCCGATCCTTAAAAACCAGATCACGGATCTCGGGCCGATTTCAATCCACATCTTTAACATGTACACAGGTTTTTTTTTTTTTTTTGTATTTTACAACAACGTCGCGTTTTCTTGACACGAATCGACGTTTAAAACTTGGGGCATTTTTCCAGAAGAACACACGTAGAGCCGATGCTGCATCTTTAGTTTCCTCTTTGGTTACCAGGTTACCCAAAACCCTCCGTCAGTTATGCAGAATGATAATTTGAATAGTCGACTCAGAATTTATATTATCAGGCTTCAACTATTTAAAACAAAAGATCCAGACCACTAGTCTGCACCTCACACCTCAGCTCTGCTCTAGTCATTAGTCACCTCCCTAAAAAACCTCAGCTCGTAACATTTTAGTCTCGAACAAGAAAAGATGAAAACGTTTTCTGAAATTCTTTTTTTTTAGATGAATTCTGATGAGAACAAATATATATTTTTGTCTCCCCAAAGAAGAACAGCCACCTAGAAAAGGGAGACATGCAGGCTGCTTTAGGGTAAACCAAAATCGGTATTGGCCCTTGTTGAGGTTCTGCCCTCATGAGAAAATTACTACGCAGTATTTTCTCCAAAAGACTGTACATCTACGCCCTGAAGTGTAGACAATATCAGCGCCAGCAGGGACTCCATGTCCCATGATCCTCTGCAGCCGGCAGCAGCTTAATGACGTCATCAAGCGACGCCAACCCCGGCCGGCCCCCCCAGAGACCGCCCGCTGGAGAATCCCTCAAAAGCCCTCAAACCAAAAATTGTAGTAAAAATGTCCAACAGATCAGAAAACGTGGAAAATTTCAACTTTCAATTAGGGATGCACCAATACAATACTGGTATCGGCACCGATACCAGTATCGTATCGATAAAATTTAACCGATACCAATATCGGTATGCACCGATACACATTGGTATCGGCACCGATTCCAATACCAGTATCAGTATCGGTAAAAGTTAACAGATACCAGGAACCGATACCAATGCAGTTGCTTGAAAATGGCTTCACTGTAACTTGTCATTTCTGTTCACCTAATATTTTAGTTTTGCGATCATTTCCATTCATTTATTTTACTTTTTATCTACCTCACAGTATTATCCTGTTGAAAGCAGAGAAGAAAATAAAATCTGTTTTCCAAATCATTGCATTTTTTTGTGTGGTAGAAGTATCGGTATTGGTAATCGGCATAGGCAAGTACTAAGATCAAAGTATTGGTATTGTATCGGTTTGGAAAAAAGTGGTATCGTTGCATCCCTAATTTCAATCTCGAAAAATCCGTACATCTATACATACATATACACTAGAGGTCCCCCCATATTGGTTTTTCTATCGGCGAGATGTTGAGGTCACAGATGGCAGATATCTAGATGTCTTCCAGCTTACCTTGATGCTAAAATGTCACTAATAACATCAGTTGATGCAGAAAACGTCTGAAGCTGAATCAGTTTTTAACACTGAATCGAACCAACTGTTAAATCTTGTGCAGTGTTAAAATCAAACGTCTAAATAAAGTTAATCAAACAAATCAAATAACTGACCAAGTATTAATTATTATTAAAAATTTAGGTTACAATTTTTTCAGAGCGTCTATCAAGCAGATGTCATTCATGAACGTTTCAATTAAATTCAGCAGGAGCTTCGGGTTGCTCAGGGGTGTCCCCGACTTTAAATCAGCTGTGCTAATTCTGGTCTACCTCTTTTTTAACACTGATATACATATATACACATATACATATATACACATATACACATATACACGTATACTGGTGTTAAATTAATTAGCTGAAGATGGGTTTAAGATAACCATTCTATAAAAAAGCCAAATATCGGCCTACGAACGTGATTACTGGTTGCACCTGTACCAAAGGTAACCGTCTCACGAACTAAAAGGTTTTTCGTGAGAAAAAGACATTGTGACCAGAAATGCCTCCAGAGAAATCAGGACCTCACCTTCCTGTCATAAATAAATCAGAACGAGCTCACGATGCAGAGCGTCTAATCTCAGCCCATCGAGTCACAAACGTATCAGATGGTGGAGTTAGATCGCTGCTGGGGATAAATTCATCTCCGACTTCTACATTATGCACCGACTCCTCGGTGTTTGCTGCTACAACACTTTCGTCGAGCCTCTTCCATTACTGGGCTGCTGCGCCATAATGAGTTTTGACAGCTGTCCAACTCGGAGACGCGAACGCCGGTCTGCAGCAGGACAACAAATATTAGTTCTGATGAGACCTCTGCTGTCCTCGGTTCTTACTTCTCTTCACTTCTAAGATGCGATTTGATCATCTTCCTCCTCCTGCTTTGAGTTCAACTGAATGAATAACTTAGAAGCTCCCTCTCTAATGAGATAAATCCTTCCGTCTACATTCAGGCTTTGTTTGTACTTTCAGCACGCTGCAGGCTTCAAAGCGCAGGTGGATGCGGTGTTGTTATAATTCAGCTCGCCTCGGTGAGGGATTTCTTTGTTTGTTTGATTTAAGGACGTTCTAAGGACACCGGTGCCTGCATCAATCAACACCCAGACACCGGGCTGCGGATGCTTGCCGCGGCTCCTTTCATCACTCTTGCCTGTTTTGGAGAGCCTGCCGGTGCTCTTGCTGCTGGCCGTGCTGTCCCCGCGGACCAGGCCCGCAGAGATGCCGCTGAAGCTGCTGGCCTTGGTGATGGCGGGCCTCGGGGCGAGCCGGTTGGAACTGTCCGAGCTGTCCGTGCTGCTCCACGGCCGAGGCTCACCGTGCCGGAGCAGCGTCTCCGTCTCCGAACTGCTCTGCCGGCTGGCGCTGGACAGGCCGGCTCGTGATCTGGAGTGGAAAGATAACGCGTTAACTTTGAGGTTTATCTTCAGATCCAGAAGGTTTTAAAGAGCGGACCAGATGGGACACCAACAAACAATCAAAAGCTACGGAACTTCAGGAGTTTAGTAACGCTGATGCCGTGATGTTTCTTATTTTACGCGTTTTTAGCTGATTAGAAGACACAAAGAGAAGCATAAAAATCCCCCCATGAAAATACTATGATGGCGCCACTACTTGTTTAGGCTGCATGATAAATCAACTGTTAATCTTCATGGTAATAAATATCGCAATCCGATATATCACGAGGGATAGCAATATGAAGGATTACGATATATCTCAAACATAAGTCTTTTACCCAATCGAATAACCCCAGAAGTTGTTTTGAATGTGCAGATTAATCGCAATGATCGATACGCATTGATATCACAATACTCTCAATATTGCGATATTGTGGGAAAACAGATAAAATCTAAAAAAGTATTTGCAATTGCACACCTCTGATCAATGCTAGTTTAAAATTTATTACATGTAAAATAAATCCATATTTGCGAAACCAGAACGAGAATTATTCCACGTGTTGACTTGACAAAAATTTTCAACCAATACGTAATAAATCAGAAACGATGAGGATAGGCGGGTAATGTCGCTAAAAACTGTGTCGCATTTTGTTGACATTGATTTACGGTTCATTTCTTTGTGTGAAAACAAAACTTCTATAAAGAAAATAATATCCAACCAACTTTTATTAGTTTGCAAAATTTAGTGGAAGAAGGAACCCGACAGATAGTTTTTAGGGATTAAGTAAATATCGATACAGCGAAACATCGCAAGATTTCATATTATGATACAGAACCAATATTTAAAAGCAGTGTACAAATCTTTTACAGAGAATTTACATGCAAACATTTACGGTTTTTCTTTTGCGAGGTGCAGTTCAAACTCCGACTGCTAGGTGGCAGCAGTTTCTACCACCTTTATTCTGACGGAATGAGATATTGCGAAAAACTTAACGTGTCTTGGAAGCGTTTGTCCTTCCAATTAAATTAAGTCCTAAAAATGGCAAATATAATCTGATATAGAGTATCGCGACTCGTAGGGATGGGTACCTTTGACATTTGAATGCATTCGGTACTAATTCCCGGTACCTAGGAATCGATACCGGTACTTAACGGTACCAATTTTAGATACTTTTGAGTGTCTAATATTTTAATTCTCTTTTATAATTAAATATATATTTTTCTTAATATATAACCATATTTGATAAATATCATGATAAATAACATACAACTGTTTGTATTTTAACATCGTCCTTGTAGTTTTATAAGCTGATAAATAAACTGAAGCAAACGTCTTTACTGTGAACTAAATTTACTGTGTATCTTCATTCCTTTTGCCGTCTTTTTTCATTTGATTTTTCCTACTGGGAAGTTAGAATTTCCGAGGAGAAAGCGAACGCACCATTAGCTGATAACAATGGTGGCAATGGAAGCTAACATATCAAGCTAACGTTATCTTAAACAGTTTATTTAGCTGCTGGAGCAGATTAAAACGATGATGCCTCACACTTAGATCGTTGTCGCTGGTTTCATCTTCACCCAATCACCCGTCGCATTTAGTAAAGTGAAGCCAAACTTTAGAGCACGTTCATGTTCTTCTAGTCAGAAATTTGGAGTTCCGAGGAGAAAGCGAACGCACCATTAGCAAAACGGAAGCTAACATATCAAGCTAACGTTATCTTAAACATTTTATTTACCTACTGGAGCAGATTAAGATGAGGATGTCTCACTTAGATTGTTGACGCTGGATTCATCATCACCCAGTTACCCATCACATTTAGTGAAAAGGACCCAAGCTTTAGCGTGTGTTCTTTCTACCATGCTGCTCTGTTTACAACTGGCTCGCAGCGACCGACGACATAACGCTCTTGCGCATGCGCAGCTGTCTAGGCAAGTTCTCGTTATGAAGGACGGGTACCGAAACGAGGCACCGTTTGAAATGACGTGAATCGGTGCTCAGTCGGTACTATGGAATTCGGTCGGTACCTTAAAAAGTACCGAATTCGGTACCCATCGCTAATCGCGAGATAACGCATCTTCTCTGTATCGTGATAAATATCGTACGGCCAGAATCTTGCCAACACACACCCCTAAACAAAACTATGATATTTTGTCTTTGGTAGATCATCGTGTTTTAGCCCTTTAGCTAGCATCTATAATCACATCTCTTACTCCCATTTGAATATTAACATTACTGTGAATCACAAGACCACTTTAGTAGTCGAAGGGATCGTTTGGATTCACAATGATGGACTCGAGCACTAAACCATCAAAACAAACAGAAGAGCTGATTCATGCAGACACAGAGAAAAGGTACAATTGTACGATTTTTACTCATTTTATGCAGACAATCTAAACAAAAGCAACACATGCCGCACCAGAACAAGAACATCCACACGTGGTCACTTTGAATACTCAATAAAAAGCCCATGATGACTTTTTTAGGGTGTTATTTCCTGCTTTAATTGGACATATTTTGGTGTAAAAAGGCCGTCTCACGTGAGGAGCCCCGTCTCTCATTAAACCGGAGCAGCAAAAACAAATCCTCAGATCAGCACTCCTGTTTCTGAGCGAGCCGATTAGGACGACTCGGAGGCTTCTCTCGCCTCCCCGGGGAGCGGAGTGATTTCTGACAAGTGTGTGTGTGTGTGTGTATGTGCACCCACCTGAACATTTGCCGCCTCTGCTGAGTGCTCATGCATGAGTGTTCCTCCTGTGCGCTGAAGGGAAGGGGAGAGGTGTTACAAAACAGGAGGACTAAATGAGAAAGCCACCATTTTTCAAACCTGATTAAAACCCAGAAAGTCTAAAACATTTAGCCGACAACTCTCCCTCAAAGCTGTTTAAGTCTGTTCTTACCTTCTATCCAATATAAAGTGATCACCCTGCGAATGAAAAACAGGAATAATGTCAGTTTATGTAAAGCTTGAAGGTTTTGTTTAGTATCGGAGCTGCAGCCCACGATAAGTTTAAAGGGCTTCAGGTGTTTGGACCCAAACGCAGCCATAGATGTGACTTCTGAGGCCAAATCGGGGCACGCATTCATAAAGCCAGCTCTGGTAATTGGCAGCAGGAGAAATCTGGTGAATTTGCACATGAATAGACGTGACACAAAGATTTTGTGAAACATGCCTCCCCCCTCCACCCCATCCCGCCTACACAAACAGCTCTCACATCATGTGCAAAAATCCTTTCTCTGGCTCGCTGGTACTCCTCCTCCCTCTCCTCCATCGATTTGCTCCTCTTGTCAGCTTTCAAACGCATTCGGATCTGGCAAGGACACACACACACACACACACACACACGCGCGCACACACACACACACACACTGGTACAGTCTTCTATGTCAGAGGCACCAGATTGTCCCACTCTTCCCGGCATGTCAGAAATGAAAGTGACAGCTTGATGAAGAGAGAAAAAAAACATCTATACATGAAAAAAAAAGAAAGAAGAGGAAGCCTACCGTGCTGTCGTCTCGATCAAAGCTGGAGTTGTCTCGTTTGAGAATGTAGCGTTTCTGAAAATCGTCCGCCCTGTCACCCTTAATGTGCTCCGAGAATTTCTGATCGGGTCTGTTGGTGGAGGAATTTATGGGAGTTTTAGTGGCGACTTAATTCATTACAGCTGCTGGCAGCTACACATGCTAACCGAGTTAGAAACCAGAAACCCAACTCTGTCCATTTGTTACAATAAGCCCCGCCTTAATCCTGATTTAACAACGTCTCGGTCAAATTTATTCTGTCTGATAGGATAAAAACGAACCGATTAGGCTTACATTCTAGTGTTGATGGTCTTGTTGATGACCACTGACTTTCCACTGGGGTCCACGTTGTGGTCCATACCAAAGTAGGCTGCTACTCGGTGCAGCAGCATCCGGTGGTAGGACGTCATGGGGGGGAACTTCCTCTTCTGGCTTCTGGAGAACAAAAACAGCCCAACAGAAGGTTAAATAAATCACAATCCCAGTCCGACACGTTCATCTGGAAAAATGATGTAATGTCAACAAAGTAACAGTACAGAATCTTTACGGTGCTCACTGGAGTCATTCTAGCATTAAATGACTTATCGATCCATGTGGAATATTTGGAAAATTGCACCGACTGCAAAACTTTGAGGCCGATTCCAAGTGCTGATTTTTTGTTTTGTTCCGAGAATAAATCCTGAAATTGTTCATATACATGTTTTTAAATCTGTTTGACGATATCCACAAAGACCTTACTCATTATTACTGATGAAATCCAAGATGTCCTGTTCCAACTTCAGCAGCATGATTCGATCCCTGGAAGCAAAAATAAAAACTAATAAATGCGTGAGTCGGTTTGGAGACGAGAAGCCAGCTGATCAAAAGCTGTAGCTAAATGGTAAAGAGCTCATATATATGCACTTTTACAGGCAAAGGTATGGATTGCACAGAATGCTGGGTTTCAGGCCCGCCTACCCCCCCCCCGATTTTGCGGTGAGTAATTAAAATTTTAAACGTTTCTGTAACTGAACCATTAAACACAACGGATTAAGACTTGGTGGCTGAGATTTCACAGCACGAGGCGGAGCGTTTGTGGTGACCTTACCTGGGGTTGCCCTTTAATGTGCTGACCAGGAACTCGTGGAGGTCTATACCGGTGGAATCCGTGTAGTCTTGACTGGAATCTGCCCAGACAGCAAAAATAACCCGATTAATTGATCCTAACCACACTGGTAGTATCGTACAAAGCTTCTTTGTAGGAACATAAGAAAGCGATAAGGGAGCGGAGAGATGGCACCCATCAGTGGGAGTTAGGACACCAAAGCTCGTTCCCATCTGTGGGCGTCTGCTTTCTATAATTGGAGGCTGGCTCGTTGCTGGTGTTGCTCCATGGAGGGAAGCAGACACCTTCATACGCCTGTGGGAACCCAGATAATTGCTTCGCACCTTGAGCTTTTTGCAATTAACTCAATCGCGCCAATTATCAGCCCATAATGAGATATGGTTTCAAACAGGGAGGTGCTTTTGGACAAACCGGAGGACGGCGGGCTGAAAAGAAAATGTTTGGGACCGGATGTCCCTGGCGACGAGGAAAAGGATATAATTATTAGAAGGCAGTAATTTGCCTGAGTGACACAGATTGTGTGATTAGTATTATTAAAGCATTTGGCTTCATTTCAATACTTGGCTTTCAGCGTCGACACTCTCATTGTGTCAATCGCACCGGATACGAACGTGGATTCCTGCTTTAGTTGTTTTCTATAAATGAGTATCCGGATTTCGGATGGGAGACAAGAAAACGTTCATGTTCGGATTATTTTTCAAGGAAATACTGTTTAAAAATGAAGTCTCGGGTGTTCTGGATGTAAAAGAAGCTGAGGCGTTAATGTCTTCTGATTGCAATGGTCAACTTTACGTACTTAAACTGATTTTTAGTGTATATCTGATGAGGTGTTGAAAAAAAAATCGATTCAAGCCTGAATCGGGATTCTTATTTATAAAGATTCAGAATCGATTCACAAAGGTTCAGAATCGATTCCAGGAACTGAAATTTTTGGCAGTTACAGGTCTGAGACGCACTTTTTAGATCTTTGTTAGGAGAGTCGGTACTCCGTTTACTTTTGTGGTCCCATAAATTGAGATGATTTATGTTTGAATCTGCTGATAAGAGGGCACTTGAATGTAATTGTTTCCATACTCAGAAATTTGAGATATTCTCTTATTTATTTTCTAAGTTGATAAACGAGTACTCAGGATTACTCAAGTAACTTGTTTCTACACTTGAAAAGTATTTGACTGTATTACTATCAAAGCTACTGTTAGGTAACTACAGATGTGTTATATTTTACAAGGTAAGCAAAAATAAATGTTGCCTTTTGGTCAAAAGATTGTTTCTGTTTACAGTCTTAGAATCACTTTAGTTTACATTGTAAATCTGCGTTTTTGGAGCACGACCAGTTTAAAGTCAAATAAAAATGTCCCATAGCTTTAACTAACTTGTACAACAAAGTAATTCATCCTGGAGCTGACACTCTTTGTTAATACTGATTGTGAATCCATTTAAATTGAGAATCGATTCTGAATCGAATCGGCACCTCGAGAATCGGAATCAAATCCGATCATGAGTTACTCTAAGATTCACATCCCTAATATCTGATGATAAAAGCACAAATCAACCTTTGTTTCTATGCATAAGTGGACAGAATGATGTCAAAAACAGGGCTAATTATTAGGAGTTTTACTCCATTTCTCACCTCTCGACAGCATTTTCCTTGGTGCTTTCTCTGGTTTGTCCACCTTGTCGCAGCCACCTTCCTTTTCAGCTTGGTCTTTGGCACCACGTTCCTCATTTTCAGTGGGTGGCTGAAGGAATCCATCCTGTTCGGGGAGTAAAAGCCTGATTTGACCATTCGGAGGAATGGATAATACCCCACAGAGAGCGCCACACTAATGTTGGCGTTTTACAAGAACATCGAACGTTAAAGGTGACCTGGGTCTCTCCTGAATGACAGACAAGAGACCTTCATTTAGAAGAGAGGCATTAAATAAGTGCATGATCTTGCCTCGGGTCCCGGGTTAATTAGACAATGGCACGAAGCCACAGCGAGACACTTAATAAACTCTCCCGGTGAATCGCCGAGATCCGTTTGCTTGCCAGCCAGAACGTGCCTGCGTTCACCAAGTCCAAATCGCTATGGCAATTAATCTTCCAGATTAGCCCGTTTTTATTAAACCACCTGAATAAAACATGAATCTGATCTTGAAATTAAACAACGCAGCAGATTTGATTTCAGAAAATCCAACAGACTGAGGAGTTAGCTATAATCCCCCCCCCCAACTGTGGAAAATGCTCAAAAATCCACCGTGTTGCAATCTGGCTGGAAGGATCTCTGGGTGAGAATCTATTAAAGATGGCCTCGGTGTGACTCGGCCGTGCTCCTACTTGACACAAACACACATTCACACAAGTCAGAGCTGTATCTGATTTGCTTTTCAGGCAATTCCACCCTCTGAAAAAGAAAAGAAAAGAAGAGGCTGAAAGGAAAAGCTGGAGAGAGGCGAGGGGCTCTCGTTGCACTGTAAGTGGATTAACCACAAGTCTGGAAAGTTAACATCAGAGAGTCAGTGAGAGTGTGTGAGAAGGTGGGGGTGAATGAATTGGGGGGGGGGGGGGGGGGGGGGGGCAACCTAGTAGTGGGGAGAGCAGCTCATAACCCAAAAAGGGTTAGCGTTCTGATCCCTGTAACAGCTGCGGAGCCGGATAATGAGATGCAGCATCTCCCCTCATTTGAAGTCGTTCAGGACGAATATGTAATATGCAAATCAGAGACGCCACTGACTAATTGCCTGGGCGAGAATAAGCCTGAGACGGCGCGCTTGTGGAAGTGACAGCAAGTTTGTGTTTGTTCGCCAAAGCGAAAGAGCTTCATATTTTTTACGCATACACACATATATATATATATATATTCTCTTTTTCTTCGTCGGGCAGAAAAGTGCTGATGTTTGCGACTAAATGGCACCTTCACATGGAATTCTGTCGAGTTGATGTGCAGCTGTTGCAAGCCGCCTCATTTGTTCCCTGACACCCATTTACCTCAAGATAAAGGAAAACCAATGGGAAAATGATGGTCTTGCAACTGTATAATGAGTATGCTGTCAGTCTGAAACAAAAAGGTATGACGAGCATTCGAAGGCCCCTGACTACGGACCGTGGATTGGGACCGACAGCCAGGCCGACAATACAGAAGGCAGATGCGAGTTCTCAGACAACTCGGACAGCTCGTTGGTCTGTAGAGCTCTTTGTTCGGTCCTTAATATTTGACGTTGGAGACAGTAACGGGAAACAATAGGAAGTGTTCAGATGCGACGATGGGACCAGTTTGATGAGGAATTGGCGACAATGTGAACCCTACCAACGTGTTGTTTTATTGCGTTACCTCACCCCTCTGGGCTAGTTTGCCGCAGAAGGAGTTTCAACCAATAACAGGAGTGAGAGGGGGTGAAATATCAGGAGTATTCAATTAAAGCGCTCCATAGCGCTGCGTAGCTGACATGTGGAAATTGTAATTTCCCCGACATGATTGATGGCAGTAATACAGGACGTCGTGTGAGTGCAGACAACGCAAGACTGCTGTGGGAATGACACCACCCTCTGGTCACGGAGCTCAATGCTGACTGGTGGAAATGCCTCCAACAGATTTACCTGAGAGTGTGTGTGTGCGTGTGAGAGAGAGAGAGAGAATAAAGGCATGGCCAGGAGTTGTGCAGAGTCTCATGTAATGGAGACAGTTTGATCCGAGGGGGCCCTGCACCTGGAGAACCGGTGTAAGAAGACGCAAGTTGCCAGAGCGCCACGCTTTACGTTTTGATGATGTGATCTTTCCGTCCAGCGGACGAGTATTTAATCATAGTCGCCAGACAACGGCCGCTAATCAAGCATCCAACGTCTATACTCTCAGTTTGGATGAGGCGACATTAATTCAGTCCGAGGTTGGAACTTCTCAGTATGGGCGGAGGGAGGTGTGACAAACCCAAAGATGTTGGCTTTCATGACAAGGTTGAGGTGACTTGTGAACAAATGATTTGAATCAAAGAAATGTCATATACAAAGATGGTCATTGTTGTCATAAAAAAATAAAACTGAAACCAGTCAAAAAGTAGAAAAATAACTAACAAGTACCAGTGTCTGAGTACTGTCAAGCTTGGTGGGGAATTCTACCCGTAGATGTTCTCTCTAATTATACTAAATGCATAACTAAATTACAGTAAAGTTAAAGTTAGTGATTTTAACAATTACATCTCCGCGTTTGACCCGTCCTCGTGGGGATAGGTGAGCTGCAGCAGTGGTTGCACTTGGGAACTATTTGGTGCTTTAACCCCCAATCCAACCCCTTAATGCTGAGTGTCAAGCGGGGAGGCATTGGGTCTCTGGCATGACCAAACCGGATCTGAACACCGATCTCCAAGTCCCACTAGGCTGCTGAGAAGGTAGCTAAAGAGTTGGCTGTGCTGTTATTTAGGATCATGAAGTCCCACGTAACAACTATGGATTATAATAAAGGGTTATGACGAAATCCGCTGTAATGAATGTAAGGGATGTCTCAAGCTGGGCATTATTGATCCAACTTGAACACAATTTAACAAGCATTGACCAGTTTTTTCGTGTAAAAGGAATTTCAAAAATGGATGGAGGTTCTTGAAAAGTTGTTTCGTTTGGTGGAAGAATCTCTAAACAACTTCTCCTTATGAGTTAATATCCAGAGCCAAAAGATGCATAAATCTCTCCTAAAAAGATGAGTTGTTTTCATTTTGTGCTTTTTCGTCCTAACGACCACTTCAAGGCACAGGTCACATTCACCCATGTATACAACCCGATTTGAAAAGTGAGGCGATCTCAAACTGGCATCATCGTACTCTCCAATCCAAGCACACTTTGAGGCCTTCTGTTTTTTTGACATGGCACGTTTAATTTCTGGATCTAAAGCTAAAAAAAATGACCATAGTAAAATAATTACCCAAGAAAACATTCCTGGTGTATCTTTGAAACTACCCATTCATTTTGGGATGGTTGTTGGGCTGTCAACATTTTGGACAGGTCGAGTACCTTCAACGTTCCGAGTGACCAAATAAAAATACAAGAACTTCACATCTACAAACTCTTAATCTACCCTGTAGCTAAAAGGTTCTGGTTCATTTAGTCTCTTCCTTCACTGGATACTCCGACATGTCAAACATGTCGAGTTTAAATATAACAAAGCTTTACATTAGCATGCTAATTTGTGTTTAAGCAATAAGAATGGCAAACAAAGGCTTCCCTGCAGTTGATTATAATCAAAAATGTTAATTACAACTGTAGAAAAGGGCTAGGTGACGGCTACCTTGTTAACGAGCAAGTCACCCCTACAAGAAACTTCCTCCATTTCCACTTCACGTTTGAAAAACTGCAACAAATGCAGTTTGCTGGCAGACTGAGAGGGCGGAGCCACTAACAAATACACACAAACAGGCTCACAACAGCACTGTGACATCATAATGTACCGGCTAATGTCATTGAGTACCTCTTAAGCCTGGTTTATGCTTCTTCGTCTGCGTCAGTGCGGAGACACGCAACGTCCTTGCGTAGGCCTCCGGCAGGCACGCACGTACGTACGAAGTCGAGCCCACTTTTTTAAACATCCGTCGAACGAGACGGATTATGCAAGCTTGTGATTGGTCAGGATGCCGCTGTGGTTTACAGCGCTGCCATTGCAAAGAGAGCTGAGGATAACTAGCGGCAGACACGGAGAAGCTTGAAGAATACCTCGCGAAAAAAACTCTAAAAATATGAACGTTTCATCCTCCCGTGACTGGAGGAGTGAAAAGATGCGCAGCAAGCGTTTTATTTGTGGACGGAAATGACAGGAAACGTGGGTTTAGAGGTGGGGAGCGCATGAAGCGGTGGGAGAATGAGAGACAAATAGTCTTAAAAAGTGTTAAATAGTCAAATAGTGTTAAAAAGTCTCTTATTTACACAAAAAACACAATATAAACACACTCTCTTGGACCGATACATGACAAGATAACACAGAACAGCGCTACACCCTCTGTGGTCCTGCCGGGCAATTGCTTTGCAACACTCTCCAGGAGACGGAGAAGTATGAGAGCAAAACGCTTCCGTCAATCCGTGCGTGTCTGTCCCTTGCGGAGCTGACGGAGAAGCATAAACCAGGCTTTAGCCAATAGCGGAGGCAGACTCAAATTCAAATGTATTGCAGAGTTTTTACCTGACAACTGACAGTTTTAGGCATTATATTTCAATTTTAACTACGATGCACTAAAGTGCCAAATTATTGACTTCACGTGTCTACAGCACAATTAGACACTCATTTATGTAGTTTAAAAAGTTGATGTGGGGGTGACTTGCTCTTTAATGAAAATGACATTTGTGTTCCTGATGGCAGCAGTCTAGCGTTGTTAAATACTGTCAGCATGTTTAGTACAGAGTGCAGCTACACATCTGATGCCGATGTTAATCTGGGAACTTTTACCTGAGGTGTTGCTGAAGGCTCGGGAATAGCACAAGGGAACGACTCTTCACACACCGCCAGGCTCCGTACGAGCTTTAGCCTGGTGTTGGACTAAGTGGGGGGGGGAAGGGGATGCAGGTAGGTGGGCACAGTTAGAGACCATGCACACACCAGTATTACGCATGAAAGTGAAAAGGCGGTGAGCGCCACTTGCAAGCAAACAACCAAGTTCCTGTACTAAAAAATGCTTTTCTTCTTTTTTAGGGAAACGGAGCTTTGACGCACAAATGACTGTAGAACATAAAACTCTATAAATAAATAAAAAGTGCAATAAAACAACAACATGCAATACTCTAAAGAGACATCACTGCAGCAAGCTCAAAAGAAATGTCCAGACGAGAGTCGTCATCCGCATCTCAACAAATAACTCCAGACATCTGCGATGGTGCGAGCAATGACGACCGGCTTGACAAGAAACACGCCCTGCAACTGAAGAACTGAGCGCCGTCCATGCGTACGAGGCAGGCAGAAGCAATCGACAACATGCACACCAATCGATCCATACCTTGGAGTACTTCACGGGCTGTCCGTGGGCGGGGGGAGGGAAGAGGTACAATAATAAATAAATAATATTTTAAAAAAGGCACCAGTCTGATGGGGGGGGGGGGGGGGGGGGGGACAGGTTTGTAAGGTTTTAAAAAGTGGAGAATTCTGAATTATACATGACTGTCCTAGATTTGCAAGGTTTGAGTGACTCCCAACAATTCAGCAGAAACGCATTAGGATGGAAAAACTGTCTTTGATCAGCAAGAACAACAAGAAAATTCCCCGTCGATAGAGAAATCTCAGAGCCAGGCAGAAAACAGAACCCAGGCGCGGGGCAGTGGGGATTCGGGTCAGTTTGGTTCTGTTGCTCCCGGGCCGTTCAGCTGTCATGAGCGGCAGAGGCAAGAAGGTGAGATGCAGAGCAGAGAGAGAGGCCGGCCACCCAGTGGTGAGGGAGACAGCTCAGTGCCTCTGCGCTTTATGCATGACTGGTGTGTGTGTGTGTGTGTGTGTGTGTGTGTGTGTGTGTGTGTGTGTGTGTGTGTAAACAGAAGGTCTCTCAGTAGCACGCAGAGTAGCAGACGAAGGGAAGGAAAGGAGGAGGATGACTGGCATCTAAATTGTAACCGAGTCCAAATCTGTTCCTTACATCCTTACATCACACTGAGGTCTGTCCTTCCTACCTGTCCTCTAAAAATCAAAAGGACAACCCCCCTCCCTCCCATCGATGCGCTTCGGGGCTAAATAACACCAATAAAAAAATTGAAATGGGTTGCTGCTCCCATCTTCAATGCTTGTGACCTGCTGGCCATTTCTATATCGGTGGTATGGATGGGGAGAGGGGGGAGGACCGGGCTGGGACTGTGAGCGCACCGCTACACCAGCTAATTGAGCAGCGTGGGGCCGGAGGGGAATGAACAATGCCGGCAGGAGATAAAGGAATGTAAAAAGGGGGAGAGGGAAAGGGCTGAAGTCAGCAGAAGTGGGGCGCACACCAGCCACCTGTCCTGCCGCAGAGGACGGCGCTGGAGCGCTCCAGGCAGATGGCGGCAAAGTCATTCGGTCTCTCCTCCCACGCCTACCTCTGCTGGAATGGGTTTTTCGCCATCCTCAGAGCCCTTCTGACTCTTTTCACATTTCTTATCCCAATTCCCTGTTTCCACCTTTTCTCTGACAAGGGGCATTTCAGGCATTTAACAGAAAAGGGAAACTGGTTCACCTCCGCTGCTGAAAACGGCAGAAGTGGTCTGTGCTGTCGGCGCGTGTCTGCATTTCTGAGACTATTAAATGATCATGAGGCGAGGTTTATAGAAACCCGAAGAGATAGCCTCCTCCACGTAGAGGTGGAAAAACGCTTGTGACATACCTCGTACTTTTTTTTAGAATAAGAAACACATCAAATACGCGTTTGTAAATGATTCAAGCGGTTTAAAACACGAGTTTAAGTCACAAATCACGGTGCTGCTACAAAAGCAGAGAAGAGCTGATTCTGAAGCCTGGAGGTCCGTGAAAACAAGGGTTTAATGATAACACATCATCCAAGACAAAACCCATGATAATGAACATGTGTTGTGTGGCTTCCGGTGTGTTTTGCTTTCAGTCTACCATCTTCCCTCACAATGACACCACCACGATGAAATCAGAGATGCTCTTAAAGCAGAATGTCACACATTACTGTTTTAATTGATCATTTTGAGTCAAAATCTCCCACTTCATATTTTTAAATGTTGTGTTCCTTCTTCCCCTCCATCTGCCTCCCCTCTCCCGCATACATCCCCCCCGCTGGTGTCACTCTGCTCCTCCGGGTAACATAGATGCAGGAAGCTGCTAGATAAGCCAGGATTTGAGTCCCGATTATCTGCCTGCCCGACTCCCTCGCTCTCCCTGCTTCCAACCTCACGGCCAGATCGGCCTGAATCCTATTTTTAGGCTACGGCCAAAGACACAAAAGCCTCTCCTTTTCCTGGATGTTGGTTCTTTTTAGACCAGATCTGGAAGGATTCCTAATGGCTTCACCGTTCCTGTGACTTATCGTTCATTCCTTGGTGAATACAAACCAGTCGGCACCGGTTTTAATTCAGGAAACCAAATTAACAAGTGCGAGTTTCATGAAATCCCAACGCACAGCGTTCCGGTGACACACACCTAATTAATTAGCAGATTAACTGAAAGTGATCTCAGCTGTCCCGAATCCCCAGCTGAATTCTGCCACAGCAGCATCTTCCACAAAAGATTTGATCTTCGTGACTGATTCTCAGCTGACATGCAGCACAGGGTGTCAGTCTGACCGCCCTCAGGATCGAAGGAGAGGCAGAGTCGAGGTCCTCATTACTATTTCAGACTGTGCAGATTACTATTTTCAAAAAACAAGTTCCTGTGCTACAGCTGCCAGCTAAATCACCTCCAATGCCGCAGGTGACAGGAGATCCCCGGGGCAGCTGGTGTCTGACGTTGACATTTACTGAATTTTCATGGAAATGAGTGCAGAGAAGGAGTCGTGAGGCTTGGACAGGCCGATTCAGGCTGCAGGAGACTCACAAAGTGACACCCACTTTCACATCCACACTCAATCATTCTATCTAGGAAGCGTCTGTCAGACGAACGAGCCGCTACGACAGCCAACTGCTGCTTTACCTGAGTGTCCTTATTGCTGCCGCCGTGCTCCTCTCTGCTGCTCTGGCTCGGCTCGCAGACCTCGGACTTGGTGGTGTTGTCTTTTGCGGGTGTGTCGGCGGCCTGGGGAACCTTCATCGTTTCAGTGTCCGCGATGTCGGACATTCTCATGGCAAAGTCTTACAGGGAGATGCTGGCGAATACGGAGCACCTAAAGGACAGGAAAGCGCGCTGTAAGAACGAGTTCTTTTAAGAAATACAGAGACAAGGGTTGAAACGGGCTGGTTTTAGGCTAGTTGATAACCAGAGCTTTGAATTCACCGCTTATTAGTTAAAAAGAGCAATGTGACCAAAAACGATGGTAAAATAATAAAAGTGGTTTTAGATAGAGATCGTCTGAGTGGTTCACCAAACATAAAGAAGGCCAATTCTAGGCCTTCCTTAGCATCCTACCGAAGGGCTAAACGACACTGTCGAGGTGTTTACCTCCTTGATGGCGGGGGTGTTTTCGGAAACCAAAGAAACTAGACAATATATCAACTTTGCTCAAATTATTTTTATTTTTCTAGCATCCTCTGGAATATTTTTGAGCCCAAAACAAAAAACCAGAGGCTTCATTAATCAGCCACCAGCTGTTGTACCGTTAGCCTAAAACGACCAAACCTAGCCTAAAGAAGAAACGTTTAGGGGCACGTGACCTAAAGTTTTCTCATTAGAGCTACGGCCCAATCCCAATACTCGCACCACGCCCTACGGTCTTCTGTGAAGTGCACTTGGAGGAAGTGGGCAGCGAGGCTTCGAGTGTGTGGTACACAAGTGTGTGAAAAATTGCCGATTTGGGACAGGGAGCATGGCGTTATCGAGCACAACGCATGCCGGGATGCTGGTCGCTGCGCTACTTAAAAAACAAAAAAACTTTATTAACAACTATTAAACAATCAATTACTTGATCAAATTTACAGTCATTGCTGCTTTGTCTAAAACATTCGGAGCATCAAATAATTGTCCTAACATGAACCACTTTCATTTGGAAATACATATTTTCAGAAAAGCCACTCGAGCCTTTTCTCCAGCAGCTATGGATTGTGGGTAATACCCCGGACATGGGTCAAGTGTGGATCAAATGTGCAAAAGGGGCGTGATCAGCTTCCGCACTTGAGAACGGGGACACCCTTTTGAACTCTCACGCCTGACCGGGATTGCGCAATTGAAGGTCGCAAGGGTGGAAGTGTGAGTATTGGGATTGGCCCAAAGCCTTTTTCTACCAACTACAAACCAACCACAGCTGTTTTCATTGACAAAGAAAATAATTAATTCAGAAAAAAAAAAAAACTCTAAAATTAAGAACCATTAGCTGTACGCGGTTAAAACTTTCAATACGACTAGAATTTGGCATAACACCAACGCCGGGGACACACCGGCCGCTGAAGCGCCGAGAGGCGAAGCGCTCACGAAATTTGGCCGCTGCTCCTCAGCTCAGACCAGACGCTTTTTTCTCTGCTCCGGTCAAGGCGCGCCTCCTAGTTTTTCTTTTAACCACTTGGTGTCCTCATTTCCTCTCCGCCTTTTCTCTGCTCTTTTCCTCGTCACCCCCCCCCCCCCCCCCCCCCCTTGCTGTTTGTGTGTGTGTGAACCAGTTGTTAATAGCTGGCCTACGACTTTCTGCCTCTCTGTCCTGTTTGTTCCGGTTGAAAGACACCTAAAACCACACCCCCTTCACGTGGTCACACACACACACACACACACACACACACACACACACACAAAGTTCGCTGTGTGTGTGTGTGTGTGTGTGTTTGTGTGGTTTTTATGCAGTGTCTGTTTACGAACACATTTGACTATCGCGGAATTGTATTTTGAAATGCTTTATTTTGTTAAATTTACCGGCCTGCCTCTTATGTCTAGGTTTGACTTCCTGCCAGAATTGACGCGGTTCACCCGCGACTCGGGGAAAAAATAGAGCAGACGCCGAAATGATCGCTGCACGGCGCGAGCTGGAGCACCGGCGGCCCATGTGGTCTATAGAATAGGATAATAAGGGCGCCGAATGAAGGCGATCCCATTTTCGCGGCGCTTCGGCGGCCGGTGTGTCCCCGGCGTAAGTTGACCAATCGGCTTTCAGAACTTAAAAATGTACTTTCTTCAAAAGGTTCATGAAGTAACACTGACATCTTGTGGTCAAAGTTGTGTACTGCTGTCCGAACCCCTCCCCCTATTCACCGTTAGCATTGTTAGCTCAACGATAGCCTCTAACATTCTTTACTCGACATTAGAGAAATAATTCTGGGCCACTTCTGTTTCTGTCGACAAACCTGCTGCGCTTCACCGGCTCGTGTCTTGTGTATTGTTTCTGTCGAAGACTTGGCAATCAGGTGGACACGCCCCTAATTATAAACAATTTCAAGCATAAAATTACATCTAGATGGATGAGCTACAAAAAAGTTCAACCCTCTCAGGGTTGTCATGACTACAAACTTGACCCATTAAACCTAAAAGTTTCTTGTAGTAAAATGGAACACGGTCCGTTTTGGAGCCAGCTCCTAGTGGATGGAGGGGGAACTGTAATTTTTGTCACTTTTTCCGGCGGCATCTTCCTATTGGTAATAACAGAAAACAATGAAGACATTTTTCAATGCAAGTTTCACACCTTCAGGGTGTTTTCCCCTTGTTCTGCCATAATACTTTCTTTAAATGCCACAGGAAACACACCAGTGTAAGTTTGAGGAGTTGTGCAAGCACAAGTCTTTTAGAAAATGCTTCTTGCAAAATGGTTTGTGACAAATTCTCATAATAACTCATTAACTCAATTTTTGTGGTACTCAGAGTTGATATTAAAATGCAAATTCAAATGACTGATTATTATGAGTCAATAGAATAACAAAATCCCTCAAAATTAACAGAGTTTGATTGCGTGGCTTAAGTCTATAAAGTGAAACTTTTTCTAATCGTTTCTATAACGTGGACAGAATCTTTTTTCCAGATGTGCTTGCTGCAGCGACGAGTGTCGTTTGTCGTCCTCGTCGATAACATCGTCAGGAGGAGAGCTACAGTTCTTCTGGAGCGTGGCTCGGGAGGGTGCACAAGAGCCTTTTTCTCCATGATGGGAAGCTTGAGTTTTCATTGTATGATAAATACTCTGAGATTATTAATGGTTTTCTGTCTGAATGGAATTAGCGACGCCTGTGTGAGACGAGCAGGAAGGTGAAAGGCGGTGCACGGTCATCAGTCACTACTTCTCTCACAGCTTTGCAGCTGTTGGCTTTGAGACAATGGACACGACGACGGGACACGGAGCGGTTTGCTTCTGTGGGAAGAGAGATTCAGATCACCACGGTCTGAATCGGTTTGAGTTTGTTGTGATTCATTATCGGAATCATAAACGCGGTCTTGGTTCGATAGCTTCTTCGACGTGTCATCTAACAGCTGGAGCCGAATCTGGGTAAGGTCTCTGGGGAAATAAGACGAGGAAAATGAAAAGCTCCTGTCCTCGTTTCGCCTCATGTGGTGTGAAGATTGTTAAGGTGGTCTTTGGGACATTTGCATGTTCATTCCAGATTGGAGGCCGGCGTTGCCTTTCTGCTCCACCTGGGTTCATTCCCACAAGCAGAGCTCATGGCGGCTGGTGGGACGTGTCTGGGTAAAGCCACCGTTTTTGGTTCTGGTTGGTCCTGCTGATCTGCTCTTGTTGTGAGGGCCCCATGCGGCGTAACACGCACAAGCAGATGCACCAAAAAAGGGAGGGCAGACATCTGGTACATGAGAGCGATGATTAATAGGTTAATTAGAAACAGGGCTCTTCAAACTCACTTTGCACATCAGAACTGGATCAGCACATGACAGGCCCTAATCTGCATTTGGACCGTGTGTCAGTGATCAGAGACGGTTCACCATCTGATGGCTGAGCAGGAGAGCATTCGGCTAACGTTTGAATCAGCCTCCAGCGGTGCTGAAACAGCAGGAGGGGGATGAGGTCTTCCACAAGGTGTCTGTGTAGTTGACCTCTCTAGCGAGGGCCGCGGCGCTCCGCTAACCCGACGCCGTTAGAAGCTAAGAGGTTAGTTAAACTCTGCCAAAGCACTTGGGAGTCACATGTTGAAATTCAATGACCTGTCAGAGCTTTCACAAACGCAACTCTGGCTGCTGCTACATTTTTTAGCGTTGTGCAGAAAACAGCTCAATACTCCAGAGAGTGGCACACGCCTCTGAATATTTAGCATGTGGCGTTGACAGTCGGATGAGTGGAGTCTCTTGAGTGGCTTTGTTGAAAAACTTGCAATATCTGACAGACATTTTGAAGACCCGGGCGCGGTGATGGACGGCCATTTTGTCCCCGGTGGAATTCTTCCCTCTTCCAAACCCATTTTATCGCAGGAGCAGAAGATCCAGGACTTTGACGTATTCTTTGGCCGAGGTTTGCAACCCGTTTAGATCTCCTGACTGCATAAGTAATACCGACCATTGTTTGGTCCCTTTTGAGCCACCATGGTGGCTTGATAAAGACTTGTTATGGATGATTCTGCTTTATTTGATCTCAATAACTCAAGATGACTTTAAACATTTCAGGCCTATGAAGGATTGAGGCTCTTATCCTAGAATAAGTAAGAACCCGTGGGTATCAGGGAGTGAACCACACTTGTAATGGACCACAGAAGGCTAAAGCTTCTAATAGAACGTTCTTTGGACAGACGAGACTAATCTGGCGCTTTTTGGCAGATCACATCATCGTTATGATCACACAAACATGAAGCACAGTAAAAGACACCGAAGCGGCTTTAAAACATGGAAGAGGTTCTGTTCTGGAGCTGCTTTGCTGCATCTGGACCATGAAGTCGCGAATCCGATTAGGGTCCAATGAAACCCGTTCTGGAGCTAAATGTGCTACTCAGTGTCAGAAACCTTGGTCTCATTCTCTGGTCATGGGTCTTCCAACAGGATAGAGACCCAAAACACTCAGAGACACCCAAGAATGGGTCAGAACCAAAGACTGGACCAGTCAGAAGGTGTTTTACTCAAGGAAAAATCAGCGAACGAAGGCAGCAGAAGAGTTGCGTTGCCGTTAGCCAATCAGAGGCGAACTGTTTGCATCTCATGAATAATGAGTAAGATTTGTTGCGCCCACTTTCCCTGCTAATCTCTACTGATGGAAACCGGAGCGCCAGAGCTTTTTTTTTTGTCAGAGATCGACTCACAAGCCATTTGGTGGTACGAGACCACATCAGATTTATTAAATAACGAGTGAATTAGACCTTTAAACGAGTTCAGAAACATCACTGGATTTTCATTCGTTGATTTTCGCCAAAGTCCAATTCAAGCACTTTTGACCAAATGGGCTGAAGTAGTAATTGGTTGCAAACAGAAAATCTCAGTGGCATCGCCATGACAACTGATGAGAATTTGTTTAAATCGCTATGAAATTAGCATTTTTTGTTGTTTTAAGACAAAAGCTCTTATGGCTCCCTAAGACACGCCTTAACTCTCGGGTCAAACGTGCATTTTCTGGTCCCAAGCTTTGGAATGAGCTCCCGCTCCTCATCAGTCTGCATTTTCATTCTAGCGTAGCCGCTAGCTCTCCTTGACTCTGCATTTTCATTCTAGCGTAGCCGCTAGCTCTCCTTGACGCCGTTCTTTTATTATCGGGTTTTGGTCTATCGTGTTTTAGGTCACAGCGGTGACTTCGGTGGTTTTACTCCTAGAGGCCGACCGATGTGTTTTTAAGGCCGATCCAGATTTTTAAAGAATTTTGTAGCCGATGGCAGATATCGAAAGCTGATTATTAAGGCCGACATATGTTTTAGCAGCACATTGATTGTGAAAGACAACTGAACTCTCACTGTGTGTAATATAAATTAAATTAGTATTAGTGCGCAAAATGGATGTCATCTCGGAGAGTCGCCGGACGGTATGGACAGGTTTAAAAACCCAAAGTTGGCTTCACTGAAGGACTGGAAATGATCAGCTTAAAGACTGAAGGCAGAGAGGAAAATTATCTCAGCCTGACCCAAACAAATTCTTGTTATCTGAATCTGACGCCCTGGTAGCCTTGAGCGGCGAGCAACTAAAACCCTCACGAAGGAATGCAGACAGATGCTGTGAAAACCCGGCCCCCGGATCTCCCGGCATCACAACACTCGGTCTGACTGAGCGCTTCCAGGAGAAATAATAATTAAATTATGAAAATAATAATGCGTGTTTGGAGGAGCGTCCTCCGATCCTCTCTCTTGTGTGAGCAGTGTCTCTCTCTCTCAGTCGCTGATCGAGCGAGCGGAGCGCGCCGCGTGACAACCCACTCAATTAACATAATTCACGGCCCAAATCCAACAGAACCGGTTGGACTGATTCGGTTCCGGTTTGGTCTCAGGTTACAACTCCAGCTCTCAGCCCTGCAGTACCACATTAAGGCGGAACCACTTGGTAAATGTGGAGGACGCTCACTCTGACAGATTTGGATGCTGCGCTGGTGCCGCCGTTAAAAAAACAAAGCTACATTCCACTATAATCGATGATGGCGTACTCTTCTACGATGCAGAATCGTTTATGTCCGCATCCCGATGCATCGATTATTTGATTATTTTCCTCAGCTCTAGGGGAAACAGGATTCCAGCCCCCCCCCCCCCCCCCCCCCCCCCAATTGGGAGTCTCATGTTATGTTGTGTTGTCTGAAGTCTGTTGCATATCTGTCTGAGGAGTTTTTTTTGCAGAGCAAATCTGCCCTCCTGGTGGAGAGTAACTCTGAAGTGCCTTTTTTCCCTCCACCTGAACCAATCCTCATGTTACCTCTTACCTCTATTAAGGTAGCGCGACTCGGGTTGCGAATGACCATAGTCACCAATTCTTGTCATGTGTCTTGCCCATGTATGTCTGATATCTGAATTGTGTGTACTGAAACTCTAATTTCCCTCGGGGATTAATAAAGTATTGATTGATTGAGAAGTCAAATCTTATAATATTTATTGAACTTCAAATATAAAGCTAGCTCAAAATGTTAAAAAAAAACGTTGTGTTGTGGTCCTTTGTTCAGTCTAGTAGTGGCATCAGTTGGCCAAATGGGTGCCAGATAAAAAAAAAATAAAAACATGTATATATTGTTTCAATGAGCTTTAAAAAAATAATTAAATGTAATATATTGTCCCGATTTATCGTTCAGCTTCAACTCCTAATGTTTGTGTTTTCTGCTGCATTTCTTGCGTTGTTTGGTTGTCTCCTCTGTGCAGCCCCCAGGTGGACGCTCTATACTTTAGATTTAACCCCACGTGGACTTTCTTCAGACTGAGGTTGTATCTAGAACAGGTAGGATATTATTTATTCATGTCTCCACTAAACAAATGCTACAGATCTGAACTTCTGCTGTAAGATAAATCTTGTTATCAGCTACAACCGGTCAGTAAATCGTTTAAACGTATTTTAATGATTACAGGCTCGAGGCTGAGGAGCAATAACAGGGTATCTGCAGGTTTAAGAGAGCCGAATTTAAGACTTTTTAAGACCTTTTTTAAGGCCACTTTGACCAAACTTAAGCTATTTTTTAAAATCAAATTTAAGCTATAATTTCCAGCTATTGCCTGGAACCGAAGCCAACCACGTCGTGAACGTGGGATTAGCCATCCAGTTACAATTAATGTTGCACTTCCCCATGGCGCAAACTCCCACTAGCGTGCTCTTCTAAAAACAGCCCCCTTTCACAACCAACCGAATGTGTACGGTTCCGCTTACGCCAACATCGTACACAAAAAATGCCGAACTAATGGGCGGGGCTGACTCTGGTGCAGCTCCGCCTTTGTGGTTCTGCAGCGAGCACCCTCTTGAACCAACTAGAAATTCATGAAAATTTTATAGAAATAAAAGGATCTTGTTTATTGGGTCTTTGGTCATTTAAGACCTTTGGAAACTATTTAAGGATAATTTGTCATTTTTAAGGATTTTTAAGGCCTTAAATTTGGAAAAGCAAATTTAAGGCTTTTTAAGGACCCGCAGACACCCTGAATAAGAGGCAGCTCAACAATCAAACGGCAGAAAAGCAGAACATTGCCTTTATTATTAGACAGGAAAACCACATTTCCCTTGCGCTTTTCTACAGTTGGACTGGCGCTCTGAGTGACATCATCTCTTCCTGCAGCGGCCATCTAACTGGAGGACCAGCGCCGCCACTCGTCACGCCTCTGCCTGACTACTCCTGTGAGGGAGGGACAAGCGGGAGACGTACTTGTTCTGGAGCCTGTGGTGGTCGCGGCTGTTGACGTCAAAGAGGCGGAGCCAACCGATGCCATCCAGGACCGCTGTGCCCATGTCTGCTTCAGCTGCTCTGCACAGTGAGCAGGGCCTCCGACACCCTCATGACCCCTGCCGACCTGCAACCGAGAATGGGGGGGGGGGGGGGGGGGGGGGGGGATCAGAGGTCAGGACTGGATGCTGTCAGAGTTCGTGTGGACTGACAGCGGTCAGGAGTGTGTGTGTGTGTGTGTGTGTAACCATGAATAATAGATGAGCAGAGATGGAAAGAGAACCCCCCCCCCCCCCCCCCCCCCCACACACACACACACCCAGAGCATCGGACATCCACGGGCAGCAGGGCAGGAACATCTGAAGATCCTGACTGCCGCGATAGCTTTGGGTTTGCCTTTAGATCTGCTTCATGGTGCAGAAACGTCTCGCCGCCGCTGCTTTTTACGTTAAACATCTGATGATGCAGCAACCGACCTCGTTTATCTCCCGTCTGTTCACACCGTCAGCCGACTGACTTGTAAACGTGTAGAAAAACACATCTGATACTAAAGTACTCCTGATGGGGTCGGGTCACCTCCTCCTGCTCCGGTTCAACAAGAGGGTGGTCGTCGCTGCTGAGGCTCAGCGACGAACACACGAACACAACCGGCGGCGCGTCGGAGGTTGGTTTAATACGAAAGACGATAAATCAGGACAAATCCTGCAACGCGACCGGAGAGCGGCAGCTCCTGAACAGGAACCTGTGCCCCGCTGGTATTAACACCCCCGCAGAGCCCACCACCCCTAAAAAAGGTTCCCCCAGGCGCCGTTTGGTGTCACACCGACGCTCACGGCTGCTTCAAACAGCGGCTTTAAAACGCAGATTTGCTCAGAAAGAAAATAACGGATGTTGTTTATAATAAACTCGGATCAATATTTTGCTCATTTTAACACTTTATACACCTTTAATAGAGAATTGTACCATATTTTAGCTTAAAAACACGTATTAATGCTTCATTAAGTCACTAATCATCACTTTAGCTACAGAATCAGACAGAAAAGTAGTTTTAAAATTATAAATATGAAAGTAGACGAGTTCATCAGACACACACACACACACCTCCGCTGACCAATAACCAGCCCAGCTGGAGGTGAAGGACCCTCCATCCTCATCCTCCTCTCCACCCATATCTCTCACACACACACACACACACACACACACACACACACACACACACACACACACACACACCAGAATTATAAACAGAATTCAGCCTAAACGAGGAAATAATTTAAGAATTATTTATAAAAATAAAAGAAGAAAACATCTTTTCCTGTTAATTTAAGCAAAAACACAGAAATGGTCTCCAGACGGAGCGACAACAACCAGACTAATAAAATCAGGCATCTAATAAACACCTAACGAGCTTCCTGATGTGGTTTTGGCGTCACGATCAAATAGATTTCTGCGTTTTGCTTAAATGGGTCCCTAATGTCCCGTTTCCCCAGCGTTTCTTACCAACTGCGGCGCGAGGGACGGCGCTGACGGGGAACTAACTGGACCAGAAGACGATTAGTCTGAAATGATGTCAGTTCCTGTTTGCTTCAGGTGGACTGGGGCGGACAACGGGCAGACAGGAGCGCCGGGTTCGACACAAAACAACAAATAAAGCCTAAAAGGAGCCACTGAGTGTCAGCGGCGCAGCAGAGACGGCTGTAATAAATTCCACAGCAGGTAATCCATTACCTATCCCATAAGAGCGCAATTCCAGGGAATATTAATCTGAGCAATTAGGATTAAGAACAATAAACGTGGGAGAAAACTAAATATAAAAAACCTAACATGCAAACACGAGTCGTTAAAAGTGGATCTGCTGACAACACCTGCAGAATCACAAGAGCGAAGCCTGTGATTGGCTGATCTGGGTTAATTATCCTTGTAATGAAACAGACGCGGCCAGGAGGTGCGAGGAGCCGCGGCGTTTCTCTGAGGAGCGTTAACAGAAATCAGCCGCAGGAAGCGGCATCAGCGGAAATCCTGAAAACAAAAGGAGAGGAGACAGCAGCAGCAGCGTGGGACGTACCTGCGCACCCGCCAGCTCTGCCCTCCATCCCTTCTGCTCCGCCGCCGGTTAGTTTCCATCGTACAGGAGGCTGAATGTGCGGGAGAGGAGGCTGGAGTCGCCTCCCAGCTCGCTCCTCCGGCAGCTGCCTGCCGCCTCCTGCACGCTCGCTCAACTGACTGCCAGCGGAGGACGGAGGAGAGGGGAGTGTAGAGGGAGAGGGGAGGAGTGGGTGGGTGAGTGAGTGAGAGAGAAAGAGAGAGAGTCTACCTGCCACAGGCCGTCAGCTCCGCCAGCCTTGGAGACAGCGCCAAATCAACAGCTGGCCTCTGTGTGATGTCACAACGCCGACAGCCAGTTGCTGAAGCCGAGGCCGGCCGGCCGGCCGGCCGGCACCACGAAGCACCGACTAAACCAAAGTCAGCAGCTAAATGGGGCTCTTCATTAGCTACCCTGCTTTAGGAAGGGAGGGGGTGACAGCAGCAGCAGGGGGGGGGGGGGGGGGGGGGGAGGAGAAGGGGGCAGTCAGGGACATGGGATGGATTGAAGGAAAGGAGGAGGACAGCAGAGGCACGTCTGCGTCCAGCTAGGTGCTCTAAGAGCAGGTGGGGAGGGGGGCTGGAAGCTGCGTGGCCGAGCTGTTCGCCGGGCGACCGTCCCGTTAAAAGCTGGCAGACTGCCTCTTCCACCAGAACACGGCTAATCCTCAACCTGAGCCCAGAGCGGGAGCAAACGTCTCCTCCAGCGGAGGGTGACGGTCGAGCCGTCGCCGCGAACCCCGCGTGTCTAGACGGCGCCGATGGGATTGTTTTTGTCCTTTCAGTCACTCAAGACTTCCACAGCAAACACACAGTGGGCGGAAATAAGTTCCTGCTGTCACTTAGCAACCGTGCTGCGACAGATCCCACCCTGTTCGTCCTGCCAGGTCTCTGAAGAATTTATTATTGTGCTTTTCTTAATCCCGCCAAAAGGTCACCGATTGGACAAACAATTTATGGATGGGAGGATGAATTATTTAACGGCCCCCACAAACAAATATTAGAAAGATCCCCCGCTGCCGCCGCCCCTGGAAGGCCATGAATAATTTAGGCGTCTTTTGGTGGAAGCTATCACGCGGCAACCCTCAACCTCAATCTGTGATAATGTCATCGGCTCTAAACCTGCAAAGCCACAGCGGGGGATACTGCTGGGAGAAAAAAAACAATTAACATTTATCTGAGGCTCAGTTGGGAAATCTTGCGGATTGTTGACGATCTATGTAGGAATTTTTTTTCTTTCATTCTGCAAACCAGGCGAAATGGACCAAACCTCAAGCCAATGAGGGGGTGATTATCTGGGCCGGTGCATCTTATGGCTGGATTTATTAAACCAGAATAAATCTGGGTTATGCGATGTCTGATTTACGACCCATCAGGAGGCTAAATCCAGTCCGAGTCAGCGTTTACTGTCCACTATTAAAATTACGCCGGTAATGAAGCCGTGCTAATGTGTTTCAGGGATAAAAATATACACAGGACACCGTCTCATTCAGTCTGAGGATATATGACCACCACCTTCAGCAATGATTCGGCCCCTGCCCACTGTTATGGTTCATGTGCCAATCAAATTGGCTTAATTTTAATTAGCAGTCATTCATGATTACTATACTCTTATTTTAGGGCAGCATGGCACACTAAAAGGTTAAAGTAACAACCTAAACTCGTTTGAGTTCACAGTTTTAGCCTCAAAGCCGGTTTCCAGTAGTTTTTCACTCAACGGCGCCAACCTTCATTACAAAAAGTGACTATTTAAGAGTTCTTTCTGTTTCTGTAGGTGAACAAAATCCCAACCCATAAAAAACACTTCATTCTTCAACTAGACACTTTAAGCTAAAATTCGGGAGCTGAAACGTGAACTGAGTTAGCAACCTGGCCGGAGAATGGTTCGATGTACCAGCTCACGTTAGCACACAGTCCGCTGCGGCACGTAGGTGGGAGAGACGCGATCGGAGAAGGCCTAAAAGTTCCTGAATTATTTGAAATAATTCCACGGCTGCCGTTTGCTCGTCTAGGACGAACGTCGGTATGTGTGGCGGCGGTTTAAAATGCGCATATATTCGAATGTTTTGCGGCGAAACACATGGGGGAAAATGAGCTAGGTCGTGTCGGGGCTAAGTAGGCTAACCGAGCCTTACCTGGCACCGTAACACCGGCGCCTTCGGCTGTCACACACCAGCAAACACGTATGTGTTCAGCTAACGAGCTCGTGTTGCAGGATTACAACCACCCGGTTAACATTAGTCACTGCAAACCGGTAAGTAAGTGAGTGTCGGTCATGTAGCTAGCCTTACCGCTTTAGTTTACACTCGGTGAACAGGCGTCGTTCCTACGGAGGGTGAAGTTGGTAGCGGAGTGCAGCAGACTCAGCGAGCTGCGCGAGCCTCTGGTTTATGGCAACTCCGTTTATCATTTAATCTGGATGCACTAAAATGACTTTTTCAGGTTTGGTTTGGCCAATACGCCATGTTTTCCCCCCAATGACATAACTTTTTGGCCTGGCAAGCCAGACTATATAAATGTATTATTCAAACTTTGCAAAGCAAGAATTTGGTCTAGTTCACTCGGCTAATAACTTTTTCCATTGGATGAGAAACATTTTCTAAAATGGTCACTGTGAGTTAAGCTTTCAGTGTTTTTTTTTTTTTACCATTTTCAATCAAAAATCATAAGTAAAAAGCTATAGGATTTTGTTATTTCCTTTTTACTCTAAAAATATGAAAACAGTATTTTTTTATTAATTTAATTTTCAGTTGTTTGTTTTAAGTCTTTTTAAAGTTATTTTTAAAAACAAAAATAGAAAACTTAAAATACAGTAATAAACTGTGCAAGTTAAAAAAAGCAATAGAACAAAAATAGAGGAGGGGTAACAAATCTCATGCATCATAAATGTAAGAATTTGTTAAAACATGTGTTTTTTTTTACTTATGCCAGCATCTTCTATTTTCAAAGTAGTTCACACCTCATTTCAGAAGGATTAAGGCAGCGAAACCCAACCCCCGAGGGCTGGCAACCAGCTTGTTTTACTGATTTCCCTGCTTCAACACACCTGATTATAACCAGCAGGTGATTAACAGGCTTCTGCAGAGGTTGAAGAACTGCTGCACAGGTAATTCAAGTGTGTTGGATTAGAGAAACAACTAAAACATGCTGGGTGCTGGCTCTCGGGGAGACCGACTTAATTATATGCTACAACGGCCTGCCTTAAGCTGTTGACACGAGGGGTGCTGGAAACAGCACGTTTTGTCGTAACATTTGCCTTTTTTGCGGGTAAAACATTTATGTCGCGCGGTGTTTATTTGACAGTATCCTCGTTTCCCTTAACGAGGAAGGATATTCTTTACACTTTAAGGTTAGTTGTGGTTACAAGGAACACTCAGTGTCACGAAACCGTTTGAGTGCGCGCTGTTGCAACTATTAATCACTGAGTCTCCGCACAGGCAAGCTAATTCTAATCCCTCCTTTCATGGAGCTTGGCTAACTTCATAGCAAAAGCACATTAGTCTAAGGGTGGGCTTGCTCACTTTACATTAACGTCAAATTCATTTGAACTGTTTGAACTTATCTTAACTTTGTGAATGTATCGTTCCTTGTTTTTCTTTAACGTTTTTCCGGTGTAGTGGAACATTAGCATGTGAAGCGCTTTTATTTTTTTAAACATAAATTTTCCACTTCCGGTGTAGTGTAAAAATTTTGCCTTTAAAGCACTTTTATTTTATTTGTGCAAATTGGGTTCTTTACTTCCGGTGTATTATAAACATTAGCCTGTGAAGCGCTTTTATTTTCTTAAACGTGGTTTTTTAAACATCCGGTGAAGTCTATAAACATTTTCCTTTCAAGTGTTTTTATTTTTTAAACCCGCCTCTTGTTTTTTTCTTTTTTTCCAGTTTTGATAACCTTTCAGCAGTCCTAAATTATTGGTTCAACATTTACTCATTTTTCGCTATTTAGCTATTTAGTATATATATATATATATATATATATATATATATATATATATATATATATATATATATATATATATTTAATGTGTGTGTGTGTATTATTTTTAACTGATCTTTTTTATTATTTACCGAAAACATTTGACACTTGTGTCATCTAGCAAGTATTTGGTTTTGTAAATTATGTATAATAATAATTAGTAATCATAAATTATAGTCTGTTACATTAATAGTCAACACACAAAATATGATTAATGTAATTTTTGTGATGTTTTATTCTGGAGTATTTGTCCAAAGTTAGCCCAAAGCCAACACCTGCCCATTACAAATAGGCACAAATAACCAAATAGAGGCTAGCAACACAAAATGAGACCAGAAACAACAGAGTGATGCAAATATTAGGATATCTCCTTTATTTTTCCAGGTTTAACTCCCGTCCATCTGTCTGAGGCTAAACCTGATGAAGACTTACCAATGGAAACAGACGATGATGCCCTACAGACTTCTTGCTGTGATGCAAGATGGTCGCAGCAACTGTCAGGACTTCCTCCTAGGCTCCTGCAGCGCCTCATGCCTTTCCAAAGGGAGGGAGTGGAGTTTGCTTTGTCCAGGAACGGACGGTGAGCACTTTTGTCTCATGAATATATCTAAAACTCAAGCACTTCTAAAAGTGATCAAATTTAAACAATCACTTGTGATGAGATGAAAATGAGAAATAATTAGAAGATTTCAACAGCAAAAATAACAAAAGAAGCTGATGAACATTTCATTATTTATTTCTTCAGTTGCGTTTGTAGAACTTCCTTCAGGGAGGAAAATTGTTTTGAAATGTGTGACTGAAGGTCAGCAAACCAACTACAGAAATGAATAACTTCCGTGGAAATCAATAAAGATATGTTTACATTTAATCAGGAGCTGCTGTTGCTGCCCGACCTTCACCTCTGAACAATGGGCCGCAAACATAATAACAAAAAACAGCTGATGCATTTTTATAAGCCAGTGTTAGCTGGTGGTCAGGATCAGATCCCACCTCGACATGTCACTGTACCAAGATGCTGCATATAGGCCTGTTGGGTTAAATACTTGCTTGGGAGTGTCAAGTATTAGATTTTGGGATTAGCTTTAAGATTTACTGTAGATTACGTTCTTTCTACCAAACTGTTTTAGCTTTAGTCTCTAATGCAGATACTTATTGCTGTAATGCCAAATTTAGAAACCATTCATTCAGTTTAATTCAGTTTATTTATATAGCGTCAAATCACGACCAGAGTCGTCTCAAGGCACTTCACACAGTAAACATTCTAATACAGGTCAGTTCATTAAGCCAATAAGTAAAAAGTTCCCTATATAAGGAACCCAGCAGGTTGCATCAAGTCACTGACTCGTGTCAGAGACTTGACAACAATCCTCATACTAAGCAAGCATGTAGCGACAGTGGAGAGGAAAACTCCCTTTTAACAGGAAGAAACCTCCAGAGGATCCTTAGCCTAGTGAACTAGTCCAAATTCTTGCTTTAACAGGGTGTCCGCGGGGTTTTAAAAAGTATTAAAAAGTGATAAATAAAAATAGTCAAATTTAAGGCCATTAAAAGTGTTAAATTTGGTCACAGAGGTATTATTTTTTCCAAATTAGGTATTAATTTTTTCAGACTATCAGGTGTCGTATTCTGAACATCGACATAGAAATATATTCCGAATGAAATGTTTTGAACAATTATAAAAACAAAACAAGCCGATTATTTGCTCCTCCCACTTACGCTGCCCTGAGTTGCAAATGAAGCGCTCCTCACAGTGTTGCCAACTTGGCGACTTTGACGCTATTTCCAACAGCTTCTAAGACCCCCTTCTTGACTTTTTAAATCTTAAAAGTACCTAGCGAACACCTCAGAAACATCTCTGGTAACCCTTAGCTACTTTCTGGATAAATGTCGTCAACATTTCCTGCAGGTTAGCTAAACACTCCGCCTGCTCTCCGGACCGTTCTTCAGGACATTAGGAAAGGGAATGATGTAGTGATGTGTCAGTCGCTAAAGACAGCTCTCGGAGCCGGCTTCTTGTTGGATTAACCAGAGTGAGTGACACACACCGCACCTGCGGACTCCAGAGCCGCTAAAAACGGCTAAATGTGCGCGCGCGTGCAGCTTGCCCCTGATAGCTGTGAGACTGGGGTGGGGGGTGCAGCTGTGGTTGTGACAATTATTACATTAACTGATGGACTTGTAAATAAATAGTTTATAAATAAGGTAGAAATGAGTTCCTCACGCTGATAACTAATAACTAATCTCTCTGAGGACACGGTGCTAGTGCACGCTCCTAGAGCACCTTGACAGGACTCAATAAATGTTATGCAACATTTTGTGAACATCAATTTGCATGTATTTGTTATAAATGCCACTGTATAATTCTTGTTGTCAGTATTTGCAAGATATTGGTATTTGGTTCTGTACTGGTTAGACTTAAATGAGTTAAACCAAGGTCTATAGCCCTTGGATCATAAACTATGAGCTATAAGTATGTGGCAGTGTGAGTGTCCTGCCACAGTGTCCCGATAGATCATGCGTCCTGGCTACTTGGCCAAGGGGATGTCTCTTTGGCTGACTGGTTAGAGAGTATGACTCTCACCTGGGAGTCTGGGGATGGAATCCTGCCTGGGCTCTCGTTTATCCACCTTGCCACAAGTATATTGGTCTTTTTATACTGGGAATCGGGAGCTATTTTAGTGATCATCTTGCTTCTTGTTTATTTTTGCCCTGATTGTGCCCTGAGCAGTTTTATGACTGAATAAAAACAAAAACAAAAATCTACATAAATTGAAAAATCGTCTTAAAAAATCGAGATCTCAATTTCAGTCACATTAATCGTGATTATTGTTTTTGCCATAATCGAGCAGCCCTACTTTAGCATATCCGGTCACATAATGATGACGTCATATTCAGTGGTCGTTCTGCATCATTTCAGGCCTCGTGGTCAACTGTCTGGACCGCTGAACAGAAGTGCCTGGCCTATTTTCTAAGTAAAATAAATATGTGCAATACGTTGTCAACATCAGTGAGTCTCTAAGTCTATTCTTTTTGTATGTTATATATGTTAAAATATGTGTAAATAGGTCGCTGATTAACACTTGCAATTAAGTGTTGTGATGGTTTTAAAAAAATTCTGAAGGTAGTAAAAAAAAGTATTAAAAAGTAGTAAATTTTACTTAAGGATTGCTGTATATACCCTGTTTAAATAATACATTTATTTAGTCTGGCTTGCCAGGCCAGAGGATCCTGGCTCAGTATAAGCAGCCATCCACCATGACTCGCTGGGCATCGAGAAGATAGAGCACACACACACACACACACGCACGATACATGCACCGATACCGATACTGGTATTGGTATCGGTGCAACCCTAGTCCAAACTGATACTTAACATGTTCAACCATAACAGAGGGATTTACATTTCAGTGGTGTAAACAAAACCCATTACACACTGCTGCCAACTAGTGGTCGGCATTTGAATTGCACCACAAGAAAAGAAAATACACAAATATTTCCATGTAAATTCTTCCAAAATTTAGATACACGACTTTTGAATATCGATACATTTTTACAAGAAAAAATATCACGATATATTGCGAAATCGATATTTTTGATACACAGCTTTTTAATATCGATATTATATCGCTGGGGAAAATATCACGATATATTGCCATAATCGACATTTTCTTACATCCCTAGCTTTCATTATCTGTTTTGTGTTTATTTTTTTTAGCTTGAGGGCCACCATAGATTCCAGCCATAAATAAGGACATTCAAACTTAAGACTGAAAATGCAGGCATGAGTTGTTTGAACGCCATTCATCAACATTTACAGACAAACAATAAAAGACTGACAATCACCTCCTTCAAGGGAGATGTCAATGACAGATGGAAGAAGTAAAAATGAACATTGCTCCTGCACAAGGCTACATCGTTTCCAGGCTTTACTCCTGTTGAAGAAATATTTGGAGACATATTTAGAAGATATAACTGAACTCTAAAGCATTTTTATTTCATAAAGTGAATGGGGAAAAATGTGAAATACATAATGTTGTTTGTTTTGCACATAAACGTTTATTGTTCTTTAAGGATCAATACTTTTAACTCTCCCACTGTCTTCATGGGTCACCCTGCGAGGAAAGTTGACCATTGAGCAGGACTGATGGTTAATCCCTTGAGGTCCACGTGGCAGGGGTGAGGTGGTGCTCACTCCTAACCCCTGCCACGTGGACCCAAGGGATAAACAATCAGTCCTGCTCAATGGTCAACTTTCTTTGCGGGGTCACCCATTAGGACAGAGGGAGGGTTAAAACATTTTCTGAATACCTCTGTGACAGATGGAAGAAGTGTGTGTAGTCAAGCGTGCACGTTTCATATTTCTAATGCTGGGTCCAACTCTAAAGCATTTAGATTTTGCTGAAGAAATACTTTTTTAAAACTTGAGAAGTATGAGATTCTTTGTTTTATACATAAAGAGTTTCTGGTAAGTAATTTGCAAAAGCACTCAATGTTCTGCGGAACCACAAGACTTTATTTATATATTTGTGAATGTAAAACAACTGTATTACTCTTTTGTGGCAGATCTGTCAATTAAGTTTTTTAATAAATCTTGTAACGAGTCAACTTTTAAGTTAAAAATATGTTTAGAATAGAAACGTAGAATTCAGAAACAGAAAAGGTGTTTTTAACCCAACTTGATGAATCTCCTCAGATATTGTCTCTGATTGAAGCATGCCAATGATCTAGCCGTTCTTAAACAGACTAATATATTTTCCATGACCATGGAATGTGTATTTCACCATGGTTGTTTAAGAAATGAGATGCCACACGTTGCATCAGCTGGAGTTAGGGTTAGGTCTACGTACTAGACATAGGTTGAGTACCAAGCATCAACTCCTGTTAATAAGTAAACTAAAGTAGCCAATTGAAAAATTGTATCAGAACCCTTGATGATAGACAACATTAAGTACATTCTAAGATATAACTCATCGCACGCTATTTGATCCCAAATATCCCTATTGGGTAGCAATTGTAGTAAAGCTTGGTATAGACTTACTCTAACTACCAAAGTACATTTAAAGTTCTGCTCTTGATTACCTCTTTGATTTACCATAGCATATCATATTATACAATACCATACAATTGATTACCTCTCTTGCCTCATTTCCACCGACTATTTTGGCAAGGTACGAGGTTGATTGGCTTTATAATTTTTCTTTTCCCATGGTAAAACTGGTCTAGACAACCGACCTGGACCGCACCAGTCACAGGAGTTATTCAGCCCCCTTCTGTTGTAGGTCCAGAAATTTCTGGACCTACTGAATTTTCAAACAGAGAAGAAGGGATGATGATATGTATTTTTTCTGTTTGTGGTATTTAAAAAAATATGTATGTTTTCTTTGTTTGAACTAAACTAAACTAAACTAAACTAATGCTAGTGTGTGGCAAAAGGTACCGAAACGAGGCACTGTTTCATATACCGAAATTCGGTCCTTCATCGGTACCACGGAATTCGGTCGGTGCCTTGAAAAGTACCGAATACGGTGCCCTTCTCTATACCATTGATTACGTCTCTGGTTCGCCATACCACACCACACC